AGTGTGAAACCCTGAGTTCAAACTCCAGTACCACCAAACAAACAAAAACAAAAACAAAAAGCCAAGTTGGGCATGGTGGTATAAAAGCCTATAATCCCAGCTCTCCAGGAGGTGGAGGTAAGAGGATCAAGGTCTGAGGCTGGCTCTAGGCAAAAATCATGCTAGCCTACCTGAAAAACAAAGGTAAGAAGTTCAAGCCCTAGTACTGGGGAAAAGGGAGAAGAAAAGTATGTAAATAAAATTATATAAAATTAAGAAGAGGAATACAATATATAAAGACTTAAATAATAAAGTAAAAACAATACTAAATATAGTAAAAAGAAAAAAAGTTTTTCAAAAGATAAAAATTGAAGAAACTTCTTTCTGTGTCATCTAGTATTATTAGTCTAGTTAGTCATCTCTGGACTTTATTGTAGCTCCTCTCTGTTCCACCTATACAGGATGGTGCTGTCTGCAAACTGAGGCCTGGTAGAGCCCAGTGTATGTGTCAACATGGGGCTGCATTCACCTTATAAATTCCCCTTCTTCACATGCTGGAAGCTGCTACTGGCCCCAGAAGCTTTGTGGTCTTCAGGCCAGGAAGGCTCTCACTTCAAGTTCATTCATCCAGAGGCAGCAAACATCCAAGCTGAGTTGTATCCCCTGAGTACAAGCAAGAGTAGGGGAAGCAAACAGAGACCTGATATTTTTGCACTGGAGGAAGAGAACCAGGGAACCTGGCACACTGCCTGAAGGTCTCAGTGTTTTCAGACCCTATAGGAGGGAGGAGCCTGGGGAAATTAAACTATTCTCCCACCTTGGCCTCAGAGCTATGTCTACAGTAATCACATGGGAAAGGGTTTGTTTTTCACCACAGAGGGTGAAGCCAAACTCCCATTCCCCACCCCAAAGCCAGAGCTCCTTGTTACTTTAAATTCTCTGCTGCTAGTCTATGACTGACCCTCCCCTTTTCAATGACTGCCTCTGTGACATCTCCCACCAAGACACTGTGGCAGGGTACCCCCAGGCTCCCTGACTTGTAGTTGTTCCTTGTTTTCAGGTCCCCAGAGTAGCTTAATCTCAAACAGTAGGCTCAAGATGGTACCTGGCTATATGGGGAGCAACAAAATGAATTTCTTCTACAATGCTGACCTGCTGCACAGGAAGAATCACTATAAAATCAAATCCCCCACTGGATTTAAAGCATCTGAGAATTGTGGGTTTTTCCTGCAGTTAGGACTGCCAGTCTATTGTTACCAAGGCTGCCTGGTTTACCTTATAATCTGCTGTGGCTTTGGGTTCTCCTCCCCTGGGGAGTTGGTGTTGGTGTTGCAGACTGTATCCTACTTTTGTCTGCATTGTCTTTCTGTTTTGCTGTGCTATCACCTCTTTCTTGATTCCTGATGCTTTTCATCTCTTTCTCTCCTTGGAATATTGTCTCTTCTTTGTTATCCTGACTCTTCTCATTCCCAGATTCACATGGAGGAAAATTAATCCACCATCTTACCCCAGAAAGAGTCTATGTTTTCATCTGAAAGATTTATTGCTGTTCATAGTTAGGCTTATAATGTATCTTGAGTTATTTTTGATGAGGATAAATGGAATTAGACGTGGGTTTTTTAAAAATATAAATCAGGTGACTAGATTTGATTAGGTTTGTTTCTGGACTATATTCTTTTCCGTTTATCTATCAATCAATCCTTGTGCCTTATTATTTTTTAATGCTTTTTTCAAGGTACCTTTTCTAATTATCTATTTTTTGGTATTGCTGCATTCCTTTGGTTTATCCTTTGTCCCTCCACATCTACTTGCCCTTCTCCATCTTGCCCTGGGCTTGGGTAGTTGCCCTGATGGATTACATTAAAGTTCCCATCCCCTTTGATTCTGAAGCCAATGGACCATGAGAGAGAAAGAGAGAGAGAGAGAGAGAGAGAGAGAGAGATCAGGAGGACATTCAGGCTTCCATTCTCCTTCCTATAAGGGGTCCTCATCTTGGTTTTGTGATGACCAAATGTCATTGCTCCTCTTAAAGCAACTAATTCTTTTTTTTTTTTTTATTTTATTATTCATATATGCATACAAGGCTTGGGTCATTTCTCCCCCCTGCCCCCACCCCCTCCCTTACCACCCACTCCACCCCTCCCTCTCCCCCCAACCCCCTCAATACCCAGCAGAAACTATTTTGCCCTTATTTCTAATTTTGTTGAAGAGAGAGTATAAGCAATAATAGGAAGGAACAAGGGTTTTTGCTGGTTGAGATAAGGATAGCTATACAGGGAGTTGACTTACATTAATTTCCTGTGCGCGTGTGTTACCTTCTAGGTTAATTCTTTTTGATCTCACCTTTTCTCTAGTTCCTGGTCCCCTTTTCCTATTGGCCTCAGTTGCTTTTAAGGTATCTGCTTTAGTTTCTCTGCGTTAAGGGCAACAAATGCTAGCTAGTTTTTTAGGTGTCTTACCTATCCTCACCCCTCCCTTGTGTGCTCTCGCTTTTATCATGTGCTCAAAGTCCAATCCCATTGTTGTGTTTGCCCTTGATCTAATGTCCACATATGAGGGAGAACATACGATTTTTGGTCTTTTGGGCCAGGCGAACCTCACTCAGAATGATGTTCTCCAATTCCATTCATTTACCAGCAAATGATAACATTTCGTTCTTCTTCATGGCTGCATAAAATTCCATTGTGTATAGATACCACATTTTCTTGATCCATTCGTCAGTAGTGGGGCATCTTGGGTGTTTCCATAACTTGGCTATTGTGAATAGTGCCGCAATAAACATGGGTGTGCAGGTGCCTCTGGAGTAACCTGTGTCACAGTCTTTTGGGTATATCCCCAAGAGTGGTATTGCTGGATCAAATGGTAGATCAATGTCTAGCTGTTTAAGTAGCCTCCAAATTTTTTTCCAGAGTGGTTGTACTAGTTTACATTCCCACCAACAGTGTAAGAGGGTTCCTTTTTCCCCGCATCCTCTCCAACACCTGTTGTTGGTGGTGTTGCTAATGATGGCTATTCTAACAGGGGTGAGGTGGAATCTTAGCGTGGTTTTAATTTGCATTTCCTTTATTGCTAAAGATGGTGAGCATTTTTTTATGTGTTTTTTGGCCATTTGAATTTCTTCTTTTGAGAAAGTTCTGTTTAGTTCACTTGCCCATTTCTTTATTGGTTCATTAGTTTTGGGAGAATTTAGTTTTTTAAGTTCCCTATATATTCTGGTTATCAGTCCTTTGTCTGATGTATAGTTGGCAAATATTTTCTCCCACTCTGTGGGTGTTCTCTTCAGTTTAGAGACCATTTCTTTTGATGAACAGAAGCTTTTTAGTTTTATGAGGTCCCATTTATCTATGCTATCTCTTAGTTGCTGTGCTGCTGGGGTCCCATTGAGAAAGTTCTTACCTATACCTACTAACTCCAGAGTATTTCCTACTCTTTCCTGTATCAACTTACGAGTTTGGGGTCTGATATTAAGATCCTTGATCCATTTTGAGTTAATATTGGTATAGGGTGATATACATGGATCTAGTTTCAGTTTTTTGTAAAGCAACTAATTCTATTAAACTCTCTTTCCTTCCAGGTTCTGGTAACTTCTCTCAGTCATTCTTTTATTTCTAGGAGAAGTAACAGTTCTTACGCTTCTTAATCCTGCTTGGGTTCCTGAACTAACCCCAAGCCTGCTGACACCTTTCTAATTAGTTTCTATGTACATAAAACTCTTAGAAAAATCCTAATTTGAATGTGCTGTTTTCTATGACAACCCTGTTTTCTATGCACTGTTGTATTAGAAAGTTTAAAAAAGTATACCCTGTACTTAGCATTTTTGCTAAAGTCTTTAATTTTATTAGTTGAGTTTAGAGATTCTTGGATTTCCTATATAGATAATCCCAGCATCATACACAAAGTGACCTTTGTGTTTATTTTTTTAAGATACTTTTAATTTTATAATTTTGATTTCTGTTCTTTTATTTATTATTATCTTAGTTTAGGCCTCCATTATAATGCTGAAAAGAGATAATTATTGTCTCATTCCTGGCTTTCAGTTGAATGCATTAAATTTTTTATTTGCTGTAGATTTGGGATAGATACCTCTTTTAAAGTCAAGCAACTTTTTTCTCTCTGAGTTTATTATTTTTTAAAATCATGAACAGATGTTGACTTGTATTGAATGGGTTACTGCTTTGTTTGAGATAGTCATAAAGCACTTTTCTTTTTCTCTTTCTGTTCTCCCTTTGGTCCCTATTCTATCCTGGTAGTGCAGGTCAAGGTCTAGGCTATGGAGATTTTCCTTCCTTACTCCAGTTTGGAAGGGCAGGAATAGAGCCCTCAGTCCACTCAGGTGAAGCCTGGGATTTTTTGGAATATTCTGTACATTCTGAGCATTACAAGATGTCCACAATGGCATTATTTTAAAGTATTATTTTGCTTACCACACATCTGCTTTTTATTTACTCAAGAACTCCTTTCTATTGGGAACCAGAGGAAGTAGTAAAGGAAGTGAGGAGGAAAGAAACCCATTCTGACACCCATTTGTAATTTGCAGTAATCCTATGAAACAGAGGTCAGTATGCTTGTTTTACAGGTGAGCAAACTGAAGCTCAGAGAGGTGAAATGTAATGCCCAGGAGAATGGCAGCCTGAAATCCTGGCTGTCTGGCCCCAAATTCTTGTGCTTAGAAACACTGCTTGGTTTCTCATAACAGAGAAGTGAAACTGGGGCCCCACTTTAACACTGGGGTACTTCTTCTTTCTCCTGATCCTTGGAGACTCAGTGGTGAGTGTCTCCTAGTCTGGTCCCATCCTCCCACTCAGCAATCCAGCGTTTCTACAGTTGGAAGCGCTGTGGTCCTCTACCTTGTTCCTAACCCCCTTGGACACACTGGGGGATGTGTATCCTGCCACTGCAGTAAGTACTGTGTATGTCATGTGTGGAGGGGGAGAGTTGGGGTCTGGGTTCCTCTCTACGAAAAGGAGGGGAGCTGAGAGCAGTTCTGATTCTTCTTCTCTGTTGACCAGGTTGGTGTCAAGATGGGTGGACACTTGTTGCTGCTTGGTCTGCTCCTGTCCCTTCCTCTGACCACAGGCTGGACCACATCCAACTGCCTAGTGACTGAAGGCTCCCGGCAGCCTCTGCTTAACCGCTTTTTCCTGGTCTGCCCCATGGACTCCAGTCTGCCCTTCCTTGCTGTATGCTCTTCAGTGAGCAACCTGACGCAGGCCCTGAAAGCTGTGCCTCAGGGTGTGGAGGGGCTCTGCCTTTTTGGTTCTATTTCTGTTCTGCCCCAGGATGCCTTCTCCAATTTCCCCGAGCTCAAGGTCCTGGGGCTGAGTCTGCATCTTACCCAAGTCCTGCCCAGAGCTTTTCAGGGCCTGAGACAGCTGAGGCAGCTCTCTTTCATCAGTCTTCCTTCAAAGGACCACATCTTCCTAGCTCCTGATGTCTTTGGTGACCTGAGATCCCTCCAGCAACTTAATTTCTTGGGCCCTTGCCTGGATGGGAACTTGGGTGTCCAGTTGCCCCCTAGTTTAAGATACCTGACTGTTGGGCATAGTTGCCTTCAGGATGTGGGGGAGCTGGCTCACATCTTCCCAGATCTGGTGAATGGCAACTCCTCTGAGGATGCCTGGACCCTCGACATACTGAATTTGTCATTCAACAAGCAACTGAAGATTGCTAGTCCTGGGGCCCTCCAGGGCCTCAAGCTAGGGACTCTGAATCTGGATCACACACAGATGAAGGCAGCTGCAGTGACGCAGCTGGGGCTGCAGAGGCTTAACACCCTGTCTGTGACATTCACTGTCACTGCTGAGCTGCCTGCTGAGGCAGTGGCCCACTTTGAACTACAGCAGCTGAATTTGGGAGCCAACCGAATAGGACAAATAGCTCTGGAAACCCTGGCTTCCTGCCACAGTCTGAAGAGCTTGAATCTTCAGAGGATTGGCCTGACTAAGCTTCCACTGGGTTTCCTGGCTGCCATGCCCAGGCTTCAGGCATTGAATCTGGCAGGAAACCAATTGCAAAGTGCCATGCTGTGCATGAATGAGACAGGAGCTGCGTCAGGACTGTGGAGCCTAAATCTGTCCAACAATGAGTTGCATATCCTGTCCCCAGCCACCTTCTCCTGTTTGCCTCACTTGAGGGAGCTGTTACTTTGGGGAAACCAGCTGGTTCGCCTGGATGCTCAGGTATTCCAGGGCCTACAGAGGCTAGAGACCTTGGACTTGGGCAAAAATCCACTAGTACACCTGAGTGAGGGTTGGTTGACTCTTCTGCCTGCATTGACCACCCTAAACCTGCTAGACACTGGCAGGTTGCTGAGCCAAACCTGGAGCTTCTGGGGAGCAGAGAGCCTGAACAACTTGAGTCTGCAGCTCCCTTCTGCCCCCACTGCAGGGGCAGCATTGTCCCTGCCTACGAGGCTGACTGGCTTGGAGCTTCATGCAGTCTCCAGCGTGAAGCCTTGGGAGCTGTCTTCAAACGTCTTTCCCATCTTGCAGGTCCTGACTTTAAAAGGCTGGGGACTGCAGCTGGGGTCCCAGAATATCTCCAAGATCTTCCCTGCCCTTCGTCACCTCTTCTTGATTGGAAGGAGCTTTGGGGTCCTCTGCTCTCAGTACAATTCCAGCTTCTTCCCCTGGCATCTCCCCAGGCTCCAGTCCCTGAAAATACAGGGGAATAGTTACAATCCCCAGCCCTGCTGCATCACTGGGTTGCCCAGCCTACAGGAGCTGAAACTGGAGGCACTGCAGTACATAGCCCAGCCCCGGCCGGTGCGGCTTGAGGAGCTAGTGGGTGAGCTGCCCAGGCTCCAGGTGCTGCATCTGGCCAGAACAGGGTTGGTGACCCTGTCGGCCACTGCTTTCCAGGGCCTAGGCAGTCTCCAGGTCTTAGTGCTAGATGGTGAGAGAAACCTTGTGCTGGATGACAGCCTGAGGGACCACAGTCCTCAGATGCCCCGGTACATGTACATTCTGATGTCATCCTTGGCCTGCCAATGTACCAATGCATGGGTGGAGCCCTGGCTTGAGCGGTCCCCCAGAACATACACGCACATATTAACAAAACAGCTGTGCCAGGCGGAAGATACGGGCCACTCTAAGACTCTTCTTTTCCCCTTCCTCTCGAACCACTGCCCCAAGACCTTGGAGTTGGAACTCTTTTGGGGCAGCTCTGTCTTGCTGCTTCTGCTGATTTCCTTGCCTCTCTTACAAGAAGCCAGGAACTCCTGGGTCCGTTATATTCAGGCCTTGTTCAGAGCTTGGCTCCAGGGTCTGAGGGGTCGGAAGGATGAGGGCAAGAGGTTCCTCTATGATGTGTTTGTCTCCCACTGTAGGCAAGACCAGGGCTGGGTGGTGCAGGAGCTGCTTCCCACTCTGGAGGACTGCCCTCCAGCTGGCTTGGGGCTGCGCCTCTGCCTTCCTGAGCGAGATTTTGAGCCAGGCAAGGATGTGGTTGACAATGTGGCAGACAATATGGCAGGCAGCCGGGTCACACTCTGTGTGCTGAGTCACAAAGCCCTGCACACCTATCGCTGCCGCCTGGAGCTCCGCCTGGCCACCTCCCTCCTGCTGGCTGCCCCTCACCCTCCAGTGCTGCTAGTGGTCTTCCTGGAGCCCATCTCCCGCCACCAGCTCCCCCGTTACCATAGACTGGCCTGGCTGCTCCGCAGAGGAGATTACTGTCTATGGCCCAAAGAAGATGAAAGAAAGGATGTCTTCTGGGCTTGGCTAAGAAGCAGGCTGGGGCAACCTCGGTTAGGGTTGGGTGGGGCAGGCGTGTTAGAAGGTGGGGTAGAAAAAGCAAGGCAACCTGGAAGGAATACAATGGATGTGTGTGAGCTGTGAGACTGAAATCAGCTTCCTTTTGGGGGGCGGCTATAGGTTCAGGAGAATCAAATGTTGGGGACACAGGGTTTAGGAGGCTCTGGAGGCTGAATGAAAAGTGCTTGGGAGATGGCGGGCGGCCAGGTGTTATGTGATATGATCTCAAGATCTCCAAATCCTAAGTAAATTCACTAAATCCATGAAATGCTTGTCTTGATTTAACTTTTTCTTTCTTTTTAAATAAAAACTCATATGAGGCAGAAGGTAAAGGGGCTAGAGTCACAGAAAATAGAACCCAGAGAAAATAAGGTTGGGAGTTCAGGAAGTGTACAGAGAAGAATGGAGAGCTCTGGACAATCTGAAGCTGTGAAACGGGACCCAAGCCAAGTTCAACCAGATCTTCAAGGGGCAACAGGTCCCTTTTGCCATCTGGGGTTATAAAGAGGTTGGCAGCCGAGGTCTAAAAAGCTGGGACACTGCCAAAGAGGCAGCATACTGATGGCTTGTTCCCTCAGCGAAAACATGAAGGTGTTCACATTGATCATCCTTTTGAACTTGAAAGCAACACTAATATTCTGTACTCTAGCCATGCCAAGTCACTTGTCATTCCCAGAACACCATGTACTCTTGTCTCTGTGCCTTTGCACTTACTCTTACTAAAGAACACCTTACCCCTGGGTACCTCCTAAGCATCTTTTAAGGTTTAGCTCACCATCACTTTCTCCTGAAGCCTACACTGACCTCTCAGCCTAGGTAAACTTGTCTCTGTGCTCTCACAACTTCCTATACCTCCCTGCCTCAAAGGACTGACCACAGACTTGGAAGCCCTTTAGAGCAGTGGTCTCTAAAGTGGGGCACATGAGATGATCCACTGGGATTTGGGAAGAAAATGTTATAACTTCTATTTCTTTTTAATTTTTTCTATCACTTTATTCTGAGGCTAAACTGTCTGCCTTTTAACCTTATGGCTTTGGTATGTTACTTAACCTCCTTTGTACCTCAGTTTCCTGTTGTATAAGATGTGAGAGCATTACATCCTTCCTTAGAGGATTTTGTGTGGATTAAATGAGTTAATATGGCTGGGGCACTGACAGCAGGACCTAGTAATACATTAAAAATATTCAATGAGCTGGGTGCCAGTGGCTCATGCCTGTAATCCTAGCTACTCAGGAAGCAGAGATCAGGAGGATCGCGGTTTGAAATCACCCCGGGCAAATAGTTCTGTGAGACCCTATCTTGAAAACACCCTTTGCAAAAAAGGGCTGGCAGAGTGGCTCAAGGTGTAGGCCTTGAGTTCAAGCTCCAGTACAGAAAAACCAAAAAACAAATATCCAATGAAAGTCAGTTATTATTACATGTGTATCATTTATAAGTAAACATACATAGGTTGGAAGTGTATGGTCCAAAATGTTTTACTCATAGGAGTGCTTGATTGGGAAAATTTGGAGATAAGGGCCTGGAGCCAGAGACCTGGTTTGATTTATCTTGCATTCTTGGAGCCCTGTGCTAGCCTAACAGAAAGAGAGTTCCAGTAGGAAACTACACAGAATGCTTGCAAATAAATTTTGGATGCTGAGCCGTAGAGAACACCAGTCTGGTTCAGATTCTGTTTCTTATTTCTATATGACACTGAACTTGGCCTCTTAGGGACTTCCTTAGTTTTCTTATTCTGCAAAATGCCAGATTTTCACTAGACAAAGGCTAAGAGAAATCATAGAACAATCCCAGGCTGGATTTAGGGCAAGGGGCGCCCTCTTGTGTCCTAATGGTGTCTTGTTCTTTCTGTACATCTTGACCTCCATTCTTCCTCTTTAGGGCAGATGATGCTGACTTGCAAAGCTGTTTTTCTAGCTTCAGATCCTGAGACATTCCTCTCAGATGTCTCCAGCCCACCCAGTGCACCATACTGCTGCACTGTCTACTCCTAAGCCCTCCCCTCCTTCTGTCTTCTTCCTCACAAAGAGTCAGGCAGAAAGGAGATCTTTGGAGTCACATGCCCAGGTGTTCAAATTCCAGCCCTGGGGACTTACTGCTTATGTGATCTTGAGCAGGACACTTCATCTCTATAAGCCCCTAGGCCCTCTTTGTAAATTGTGAGACTTTAACAACAAGGAGTGTTAATAGGCTGCTATTACATATACTGAGTAAAATCACACACGATATTACTATAAATAATTCAGAACATGGTTCACAGAGAAGGAATTTGAACTGAATTAACAAAAGTAAGAAAATTCCACCAATTTTAATACTAGCCAACATGCAGTCAGCTACTATCATATGCTAGGCAATGTCAATTTCTCCAAGGTCACATAGCCATTGATAAAAATAGTAGCCAATAGTTACCAAACTTTCTGCATGCCAGACATATACCATGCTCTTTACTGACTCTCTCCTATTTATTCCTCCCACCAGCCCTATGAGGAAGATGCCATTATTATTATTATTCCCATTTTCCAGATGAGGAACTGTAGCAGAAAGAGGTTTAGTAATTTGCCCAGGGTTTCACAACTAGTGAGTGGCAAAGGGTGCATCCCCCCATGCTCTACCTTATCATCATCTCATTTAAATCTTCACGACACCCTGCAATGCAGGCTTTGTTATATTACCTGCACTACACAGTGAAAAAGCCTGAAAAAGCAATGCAGTAATTTGTTCAAGGCCACACAGCTTGGAAGTAGCTGGGTTGGGATTTGGATCCATGTGTGACTACAAAAGCCATATTCTCAACTCCATAGTAGATTGCTCATTCACCGAAGTATTCACAATGGTACAAAGCAACTACATATTATATTAAGGTTATGTAATAATGATTAACATTCTTCCAACACCCACGAAGTATCAAGCTCTGTACAAACTGATTTGCATAATAAAGGCTAACATTTGCTGTGCATTATTAGGACCTGGCCCTGAGCTAATTGTTTTAGGTATATTGTCTCACTGAAGCCTTACATAAACCGGTGACATGGGTGCTATTACTATTCTTAATTTACAAGTGAAAAAAGCGAGGTTCAGAATTCATCCAAAGCCATACAACTTAGCTGTGAGCTGAAAATTGAGCCTAAAACTGTCCAATTCTCTCCTGCCCACCAGTGTGGTTACCTCCAGTTACCCTCTTTTTCCTTGTTTCTTACTGTTTCTGCTTTGATCTTTTCGGGTCTACAGAGCTCTCCTCTCTCCTTCAATAGCCCCTCCCTTTCTGCTCTAGTGTCCTCCCACTGGGCCGTGTCGTTACGACTCAGCCAATAGAAAAGGAGAGGATCGCATTAGGTCCCGCCTTCAGGCATTGAACCTATTCCGATTTGTTCCGGTGCCAGGGTCCATGAGAAGATGGTACACCTATTGGCTGACAATAATTTGAAAGGCGGCAGACAGAGGCGCATTGCTTTCTGGGAGTTGTGGTCTCGGAAGCGCCATTCTTGGGGTGGCGCGGTCCGGACTCCGCGTCCCAGCATCCCCCGCGCGGGCCCTGGAGCACTTCCGCCCTGTTGTGAAGTGGGTGTCTCGGTGGGTGAGTCCGGGTGGCGGGGCGGGGGCAGCCGAGACTCAGGCACTAGGCTGGAGGCTTAGGAGGTGGTGGTGTTACAGGGGGCCAGGGAAGGTGAGAGGGGAGAAGCAGCTTATATGTGGGGGTGGACGGTGAGGGGCGGTCAGAGGATGTAGCGTCGGGAGAAGGGAAGGGTCATAGAGGGGTCGGGGATAAAGAAAAGATAGAGGGTCCCGGGAGTGAGGCGGGTCTTTCAAAGGTCTGCAGGTGAGGCGGCAGAGACAGGTTTTGGAGGTGGGAGAGTCACCTAGGTGTCTGGAGGTCACAGAAGGAAGAATAGAGCATTTTGGGGCTCTGACAAGTGAAGATAGGAGGGCCTGAGCTGGAAGTACGACCTTAAAAATAGTGTTCCATTCTTCACTCACCCGCCAAGACCCAATCATTTAATTTGATATTCCCTCTAATGGTTGTTACCTCTAGAACCTAGTAGGTGGGACTGGCTGTGGTGTTCTGCCCCAAACCTGCAGTTCTTTCTTTATTCCTGATGGAAGTGAATGGCACCATCACCCACTTCACCTACCTACCTACTTTACCCGCTGATTCCTCTTTCCTTCTTCCACACCCACGGATCTCCAGATCTTTCCTTTTCTTCAGTGTCTTGAATCTGCCCCTTTCTTCTGAGGGTTTTTGCAGAAGTGTTCACCTTTTCACTTCCCCACCATGGGCAAACACTTTGCAGCCAGGGTGGTGTGTTTAACCCACACATCTGATTATACTTTCTCCTTCTTAAAAACCGCCATTGGCTCTCTTCACACGTTGAATTAGGTTCAAACATCTTAGTTTATATTCTAGACTTCATAATTTCCTTTTGCAGCTTGATCTTCATACACTCCATGCTGCAGAGCTGTCAAGGTTTTCCCCATTTCCTGAATTCCACCATTGTATGTGTTGTTCTTTCTGTTTAAAATATCGATCCCCCCCACCCCCTGCCAAAAGAGCCACTCTTTCTTCAAGAACCAACTGACTGTGATACTATGTTCAATTCCCTTCTGCAGATCACCTCCAACCTCCAGCTGCCATAACTTCTTTTACTGTATTTACCACATTTGATTAGTATAATTATCTGTGCCTCCCCCCCCCAATAGATTGATCATCACCAGAACAGGAACAGTGTCTGAATCATCTTCGTTTCCCTATTGCGCATCCTAGAACAATAAACACTTGATGTGATCAAGTCAATCTGCAAATACTTGGTGAATGTGTAAATAGAGACCACCAGGCTAAGCTTGGTTACACAAGGCTTGAAGATTGCTATGGATTTTTGAGTCAGGAGCTTTAGTTTTCTCCTGCTTATCAGGGCTGTCTGCTGACAGGCTGATTCAGTGCAGGTGGAAGTTTAAGGCAAGGGTGGCAAATACATGGAATGTGTGTTGCCACTTCTCCTTCCTCTGTCCCTGGTAGACATAGTTAATTGGGTACAGTACATATTCAAATGGGACTTATAGTACTCTACTTTGTAGAGTGCTCTAAATGAAACCTATTTGCTGTCCCTGACATAAGCTCTTAAGTGTGAGGTCAGTCTGCTTTAAACCAGAGCTTGGACCATCAGCTAAAGTGGGCCTGACAGCCTTTGGGAACTTCCAGTGTCTTTCTCTTTGGAGGTCACAGACCAGTCTTGGCCTTTCCTCTGGTTCTGGGGAGAATCTTCTTTTCCCATTGTACTGCTCATGGGGAAGGGGGCACGTTTGGTCCACATTTGTACTCACTGTCCCAGAGCCAAGGTGCTTTTCCAAATCCCTGTGCTTGTAAAGTAATCTTGATTTTGACGGCTACCAGCACCTCTCCCTCAATGCTTGGGGTGGGGGGATGTATACCCTTTCTGAATATTCCTAGGTATTAGAAGAAGGGTGCCAGATTAGCAGTCCATGCTGAATGAAGTCACTGTTATGTTTTATTTATGGTGTTTGAAACAATTTTGAGTTAGTTGCTGACATTTAAAAACTCCAGAGTTCTAACTTCTCTTGGAAAAATTGGAAGGTCTGGGAACACTCTGGGAAGGTCTTGGAAAAATTGCAAGGCTCTTGTAGTTAGTCATAGGTTCCACCTACTTCACTCATTTACTCTTTTTGCATTGCCAGGTCCCTGGAGTCATTCAAACTGGTAGCCATGTTTTTAGTTTCCCTTCCCCCTTGTTCTGCCCCCACCATACTAATTAGGGAGCCTGAGGCTATACGCTCCAGCCTTCATAGGGAGCACCTTCTTTCCATTCTCTCATATTTTCAGGAGTTTAGATGACAACCAGACATGGAGGAGGGTATGTGATGTGGTTAATAAAAGTGGTGAGAGAAATGAACCTTGGCCTAGATCCTAACCTTGCCACTTGATAGTTGTGTGACCTTAGGTAAATCTTGGTAGAAGCTCAGTTTTCCTATATGTGATTGAAGATATAATGGGGTCATACCTTGTCAGATAATTACATTTTAACATAAACACAGAAAATGAAAATCACATTTATAAAAAAAATCACAGCTTGAAAATCCTTTGGCAAGGAGCCATTTCAGGAGTCAACACATTGTCTTTCAATAAGTTAACCAACACAGCCAGGTTTTCTTATGTGAACATTAGATGAAAGAATTAGCTTATGTTAAGGATTGTGCTGTAGGAAAGGCACTCCACTCCCACTCAGTGGAAAGCAAGGCTCAAGGGAACTAAGACTAGCCTGGGGAGTGGCACAGTCATGGTATCATCACCACATGCTTACTCTGGAACAGACATGTGGTAAATGGAACTGGCTGCACTACTTCAATTATGTTCTTTCTCTCTTTCTGGTCTTGGTACATAGTGGAAGTTACAGGTCAGTGAAATGCAACTCAACACTAATGGCACTTGCTTGGATTACCTGGAGGATTTGATGAGAATATGAATGTAGAGTACTTGTCTGGCACTCAATAAATGGCTGCTCTTGGAGGTTATTGATTCTAGTGAGGTCTGCATATTCCTGATAGTCACAGGACTGAGGAGTTCCCTTGTCTAGCTGTTGGCTGAGTGTATTGACCTCCCTTTCCCTGTAATAGGCTGGTATCCATATTTAAGAAAGGAGTGGAAAAGGTTGATATATGGTCCCTGGGGTATTCTGATTTCTGTTTGAAACTAACCTTTGGGATTTTTAGGTCTTTTTGGAAGATACCAATTATTGGTGACTCTGAGCTCTGGGCCTGGTAGGACTGCTAGTTGCCTGATGGCTGTAGTGTCCTTTATGAAAGCACAAAAGTCTTTGCTTGCTCACTGTTGTCTCTTACTACACTGTAGCTTCCGTGAAGGCAGGAACTGTCTGTCCTAACTGTCATTGGATCTAGAGCTCCCATTGCAATGAAGGGTACGCACTGGGTACACTGAATGACTAGTGAATTATTTCTTGTGTGAGACAGTGACAGAAATATGTTTGGATTAGTGCATCAGAAAGGCTGTGGTTTAAAAAAAAAGTCATGAACAAGAGGGGGAGTGTCTGGGAGAGGGTACTGGGAAGAGAATCAAAGTACCATTCTGTATATATATATATATTATATATCCAGATATTTATTTATATTACATATATCTGTATATTTATAGGTAGCATAATGAAACCTACGAAACACTGAAAAAGTGGGGGAGAGACATGAGGGGAGTTAAGGGAATATAATAGATGGGGTAAATTTGTTCAAAGTACACTATATCCATCTATGGATATAGATTCACAGTGAATCCCTTTGTACTGTTAATGTGTTAACAAAAAGTAGTAAATAAAAAACATGAATGGTTAATTATTTAGTGTGATAAAAATTACAGATCCCCCTAGTTCATTAGGCCTTTGATATACCAGATTTGTGATTTTACTAAAAGATAACAAAAGACCTTGCTATTTATCAGATACTGGGTTAGGTACTATGGATACTGAATGGAGTAAGACATGTACTGGTCCTAGTAATACAGTCTAATGGGCCTGTCAGATGTAGGGACAGGTAGGAGAGCAGCACATATCTTAGAGATATGTACCAGTTGCTTTTGGAACAGAATCAGGGAGGCAGTTTTTGGAGAGTAGGATTGGGGGTGGGGCATGGTAAGGGAATATCAAGGAACTTTTATCAAAGGAAGCGACATTTGGTGTAGTAGCTGAAGGTCAAGTATTCCTGTAGCTTTGAGTTATGCTCCCAGCATCTTCCTAAGTATGTGGAAGTATTTAGGATAGACCTTTATTTTTTGTCACCTTTTCCTTGTTTCTATATAGTCTACACAGATGGCTTAAAATACAAAGGCCAACTTCCCTCCTCTCTTAAGTTCTTCCATGTCATTCTAGCTCGGAAGCAGCTAATAGCCTCTTTTGAGTGGGCATATTTATGTCATCTAGACTTGTCACAAAGAACTCATTTTCTCAGATAACCCACTATAGGTGTCTATAGAAGCTGTAATCTTCTTGGGGACACATGTATACCGTCCCTCTTATACAGTCTAGACAATAGAAAGTGTCATATAGAGATGGAAATAAAGAGGAAAAAGGAACTCCTGGCAAGAGCAGGAAATAACTTATTCTTCAGTGTGCACAGAAAGAGATTTGTTGTAATCCTTGCTTCAATAGTTGATGATTCATGACTTCACTGTTTGTTGAATGTTTCTTTTTTGTGCTGAGCTCTGTACTAGATCCCTCTGGAAGCTTATGATCTAGTGCGTAAGATAATTACAGGGTTGTAAGAGAAAACAAGATGCTGTGGAAGCTTGTGCCAGAGGATAGAATTCTGTTTCAGGGAACCGGAAGGCCTCATGGAATAAGTTCAGTTTAATAAAGACCTAGCTAGGTGAGGGTGTTCAGCAGGAATGTGACATGGTTACATTTTGGTCTAGTCTGATTTTTGTGCAAAGAATAGAGTAGGGGTTGGGGTGAGGGGTGTGGAATCAGTGCTGTGAGTTGGGAGGGTGACCAAGTGTAAGACGTGATTCTCTGAAGTGGTGGCACTGTGGTGGGAATAGCTTGGTAATGAATTGGGTGAGGGACATCTTGGAGAAAGGATGGCAGGTTTCTGGTGTGGGCAACTTAATGGAAAGCAGTGTCTTCACTAAATGGGGAGCTCCAGAAAACAGACAGGTTTGTAGGAGAAAATGATGAATTCAGTTTTTGATCAATTGAGTTTGGGGTGCCTAAGGGACAGTTGAATGGAAATGTTGGAGTCTTGAGACAGTTCTGGCTAGAGTTTTGAAAGCCGTTAGTGTAAATATGTCAAACAATGCCCAGTGGGTGGGTTGATCAATGCCCAGGAACATAGAATGAGAAAAGGGATTTTATGAGGAGAGCATCCTCAGAAGAATGCCAATTTTTAAGGCTCAGGATGAAGGCCTTATGGAAGGGGTGACCTTGAAACCCAACTTGAGGGAAGGTTAAACTTTGGACATACATAGTAGGGAGGTAGGCCATACCAGGGCCAGGTAATGGAGGACCAAGAGTCTAAGCTAAGGCAATTAGCTATGTTCCAAAGGATATAACACTGTTGTCCTCCAAAGTGAGCTGGCTGCTGGCTTTGCTGCCAGATTGAGGTCTCATTTCCTGCATATAGGAAAGGAGCATCTCTTAGTGCCCCTGAACCTTACAAAGGTGGTAGAGGTGTTGGGGGAGTGAGGAAAGTGATGCTTCAGGGTCCTCTTGCTCACTCTGTCATTTGTGCTACCTTCACAGTCTTGGGGAACAGTCTCTCTCCCAGGAGCCCTTTGAAGGACATACCATTGGTTCTAGAAGTCATCGGATGAGGACAGCCCAGCTGAAGTGAGGCATCCAGGCCAGATGATGGCTGTGGCCCCGGAATCCGAGGTCCAGGCCTCTCCCCTGCCAGAGCCTGAAGACCTCCTGATTGTGAAACTGGAAGAGGACTCGTGGGGATCAGAATCCAAACCCCTGGAGAAGGACCATGACCTTGGCCCTGGCCCTGAGGCCTCCCGTAAGCGCTTCAGGCAGTTCCAGTACACAGATGCAGCTGGACCCCATGAGGCCTTCAGCCAGCTCTGGGCTCTCTGCTGTCATTGGTTAAGGCCAGAGATCCGCCTTAAAGAGCAGATTCTGGAGCTGCTGGTGCTGGAGCAGTTCCTGGCCATCTTACCCAGAGAGGCACAGACCTGGGTACAGGCACACCACCCCGAGAGTGGGGAGGAGGCTGTGGCCCTGGTGGAGGATTGGCATCGAGAGGTCTGGGCTGCTGGACAGCGGGTGAGGCAAATAGTCTCTTCTCCAAGAAGCCATCTGGGCAAGGCAGCAGGGCTGTGACTAGGTTAATTATTACTCTAAATCATGATAATAGTAACAATGTTTATTGAGCAACTGACATTTTCTTTGTGTTGCTATCTAGCAGGCACAGTTCTATTTGCTTTATGTGTATTAACTCTCTTAATCCTATCAACAATTTAATGAGGTAAGTACTGTTATCCTAATTTTACCAAAGAGGAAACAGGCAAAGAGAAAATTGGTAGTTTGCTTAGGTCACACCACTACTAGATGGTAAAGTCAGGATTTGAACTCAGGCAGTTTGAGCCTAACCACTACCGCAGATCACCTCCTAGTACCTTACACACAGTATTGCTACTCTGTGTTATATTTTATATTTAACACAGTCTTTATATACTTGATCTCTTTTGTAGCAGTAATGAAAATAGACAGAAATAGTATTATCATCCTTATTTTATAGATTAAGGTCCCCAAAGTCAGAAGGCTCAAAAGTCACTCAGTAAGTGAACCAGAGCCTGCACCCTGATCCTTCGGTTTCAAGGTTATGTCTCCACTAGCGACATAGATGCCTCATGTGCAAACCATGGAAATTAAAACACCTCTGAGTCATTAGGCTTAAGTTCAGTATTAGCTGACGTTTTGTCAGCACTCATTGTTTGTCAGACACTGTTTTAAGCTTTTTATATGACTCCCTCATCTAATTAACCCAGCAGTGCAATAAGGTAGGTATTATTATTGCCACTTTTCAAGCAGGTTAACAAAGAGAGGTAAGTAGCTTGTCCAAGTTTATATAGCTAAGTGGTAGCCCTGGGAAAAGAGAAGTAGTATTGTGGATTTAACATTTCACAGTTTCAACAATTTGCAAGCAATCCTGAAGGCCTATGATATAATACATAACTTTTTTCTATGAAATAGATTCTGAATCTTGCTTCCAAGATGCCATTTGTAGACAGGTCTGTTAACAGGCTGTAGAGTGAGCCATCAAACCTTCACCTAAATATAACTCTGCTGTCTCCACTTGGTATAGTCAGAAATTCTTGTGATAGTTTCATTGAGGGAAACTATACATTTGAGAACTTATTTCTTGCGAATGGCAAGGTTTTTTGTTTGTGTTTTTTTTTTACATTTAAACTGTAAAATTCTATACAGATTGGGGCAAGAAAGGGTTAAGGTGTGTGGCTTTGCTTTTAGGATCCCTTTATAAACTGATTGAAGATAAGAGAATGATACTTAAAGTTAGAGAACTGAGTATGAGAGAGTGTACCTTTTGTAATATACTCCCACCTCCCCATATTATTTCTTTTAAAGAAACCAGCTATTTGTCTTAAGTGACAGTGAAGAAACAAATGGAAGTCTTAGGACTTCAGAGCTGGAAGATGAAGAACTTGAGACCCAGAGATGAGAACTGACTTAAATCAGGTTCTTTTTTATTTTTCATCTGTAAAATGAAAGGGTTGGACTAGACCAAAGGTTCTCAAATTATGCCCCTGTGAGCTGACCAAAGGTTGAACTGCTTCTAAAATTGAGAAAAAATAAGGTAATAGCATCTTCTCTACTATATATTTTTTTCCTGTGACTTTTATTTTTATTTGTTAACTTATCTACCTGCTCCTGAGTATTCATAAATTTTTTAAACAAATGAGTATGTGGCAGAGGAACTTGTTTTCTGCAGACATGTATGTTGTAGCTTGTGGTCTTATGTTGCAAGATAAGTGACTTAATTATCTTCTCTGCAGATGGAATTTTTCCAAGGGATAAGTGGCCTTTAAGGTATTTTCTTAAAATGCATCTTTTAGCTCTGTTATTTTATGATATTTAGTGTTTTTTATATGTCATCACTATCTTGCAGAACCCACTTCTTCAGGTGCGTGGGTATTTAAAAAAATAGACCTTATTTTTGAGAGTAGTTTTGGGTTCATGGCAAAGTTGAGCAGAAGGTACAGAGTATTCTCTTATACCTCCTGATCCCTCTTCAGTCTCCCCCACTGTCAGTCTCCCCCACCAAAGTGGTACATTTGCTGCCATCAATGAACTTACATTGACACATTATTACCATGCAAAGTCCATAGTTTACATTAGGGTTTGCTCTTGGTGTTGTGTAGTCTGTTTTTTTTTTTTTTTCAGTACTGAGGTTTGAACTCAGGGTCTTGTACTTGCTAGGCAGGCACTCTACTACTTGAGCTATGTCCCTAGCCTTTGTTTTGCTTTAGTTTTTTTTTTTTTTTTCAGGTAAATTCTCATATTTTCGCCTGGGACTGGGCTCAGATCACAATCCTCCTACCTAATGCTTCCCATGTAGCCATGCCCAAAGATTGATTGAGATGGGGTGTCTTGTTAACTTTTGGCTTGCCTTGAACTGTGATCTTCCCAGTCTTTGCTTCCTTACTAGCTGGAATTTTAGGCATGAGACACTATGTTCAGCCTTTTTTTTTAAATTGTTGAGTTTTAAGAATTCTTTATATATTTCAGGTAGCAGTCCTTTATCAGCTGTGTCTTTTGAAAATACTTTCTTCATTCTCTGGCTTGTCTTTTTGTTCTCTTGCCAGTATTTTTCTTAAAGCAGAAAAATTTTAATTTTAATGAAAGCCAGCTTAAGAATTATTTCTTTCATGGATAATGCCTTTGATATTGTATCTAGAAAGTCATCACTATATTTAAAGCCATCTAGGTTTTCCTCTATTTTTTTTTAAGACTTTTAAAGTTTTACATTTAGGTCTTTAGTCCACTTTGATCTGATTTTTGTGAAGGGTGCAAGGACTGTGTCTGGATCTACTCATTTATTTTTTTGCATGTGGATGCCCAGTTCTAGCGCCATCTGTTGAAAACACAATCCTTGCTTCATTGTATTGCCTTTTTTCCTATGTGGGTCTATTTCTGGGTCTTCTATTCTTTTTTGTTAATATCTGTTTATTCTTTCACCAATATCACACTGCCTTTGTTACTACAGCTTTATAGTAACTCATGAGGTCAAGTAGTGTCAATCCTTAGAATTTATTCTTCTTCAGTATTATGTTAATTATTCTGGGATTCTTGCTTCTCCATATAAACGTTAGAGTCAATTTGTTAATATTCACAGAATAATGTGCTAGGATTTTGATTAGGACTGCATTGATCTATAGATCAAATTAGGAAGAACTGACTTCTTGACAGTGGCGAGTCTTCTCATCCACAAACATGGCAGATCTCTCCATTTATTTAGTTCTTTATATCTTTCATCATAGTTTTGTGGTTTTCTTCCTATACATCTTGTAAATATTTTGTTAGTGTTATACCTAAGTATTTCGTTTTTTCAGATGCAGTAAATGATGTTGTGCTTTTAATTTCAAATTCCACTTGTTCATTGCTGGTGTATAGGAAAGTGATTGGCTTTTGTATGTTAACCTTGTATCCTGCAACCTTGTGTATTACACATTTTAGTTCTAGGAGGTCTTTTTGTCCATTTTTTCCAGGTCGCTCCATAGATGAATATGTCATTTGCAAATGAAGAGTTTTTTTCTTCCTCCCAAACTTCATACCTTTTGTTTCTTTTTCTTATCCTGTTGTTTTAGCTGGGACTTCCAGTATATATAATGTTGAAAAAGAGTAGTGAGAGGGGACATCCTTTCTTTTTTTCTGACCTTAGTACAAAAAGCTTTGAGTTTCTCACATGGTAGCTGTAGAGTTTTTTTGTTTATGTTCTTTTTCAAGTTGAGAAAGTTCTCTTTGCTGAGAAGAGGGTTTTTTTTTTTTGTTTTTATCATGAGTGACTGCTAAATTTTGTCAAATGATTTTCTGTATGGATATGAGCATGCAATTTTTCTTCTTTATCCTATTGATGTGATAGGTTACATTAATAAATTTTCAACATTGGCCAGCCTTCTACACATGGCCTAAATCCTGCTTTGCTATGGTATGTAATTCCTTTTATAATTATTGGGTTTGAGTTGCTAATATTTTGTTAATGATTTTTCTTTTTTGTTGGTGGTACTGGAGTTTGAACTTGGCTTCTTGTTTGCTAGGCAGATGCTGTACTGCTTGAGCCACACCTCCAGCCCTTTTTGTTCTGCTTAGTTTTGAGATAGAGTCTTGTTTTTTCCCAGGCCAGCCTGGGCCATGATCCTCCTTTATATGTCTCCCACTGTAGCTGGAGTGACAGGTGCATGCCACATGCCCAGCTTTTTTCTGTTGATAGGGGGGTCTTATGAACTTTTTTTTGCCAAGGCTGGCCTGGAACCGTGATCCTTCCAATCTCAGCGTCCCAGGTAGCTGGGATGATAGGCATTTTCTACTGTATCCACCTATCATTGAGGACTTTTTACATCTATGTTGAGCTCTGTTTTTCTCATAATTTCTTTGGCTGATTTTGGTATTTGGTTAATACTGACTTCATAGAATAAGAATGCTTCTATCTTCTGGAAGAGACTGTAGAGAAGTATATAACTTCTTCCTTAAATGTTTGATAGAATTCACTGGTGAACCTGTCTGCACCTGGTGCATTCTGTTCTGAAAGGTTATTAATTACTGATTCAGTTTTTAAAATAAAAGATAAGTGTAGGCCTAATCAGATTGCTTCTTCTGGTGTGAGTTTGGCAGATTGTGAATTTCAAGGAACTGGTCCTTTTCATCCAGTTATCAAATGTGTGGACATAGAGCTGTTCACATACCTTTATTATCCTTTTAATGTCCAGGGGATTTGCTTTCATTTCTGATATTACTAATTTGTGTCTTTTGTCTTTACTTTCTTAGTCTGACTAGAGGCTTATCATTGTTATTTATGAAGCACTTAAAACAAAGGAACTATGATAAATAGACCTTTCATGATGTGGCGATGAGCTGTAGGGAGACAGCATTCTGTAGTTCTGTGATTAGGTGTCAGTGTTTTAGTGAGCCTGTGCTCCGGGCCTTGAATTTAATCAGCACTCCTCTGCATTTTTTTCCTCTCTTAGATGGGGCAGGAGATCTAAAGAGGGCTGCAGTTAGATGTTACCCATCCTCATGTGCAGCAGTAGAGGGAACTGGAGTTGGGTATCTCTTTACTGTAAATTAGTTTTCCTTCTCCGGGGGGTTAGGCCTTGTTAATAGAGTGCTCTAGCAGATTTCAGAATGGACCCTTTTTCTCCACCCCCTGACAGAAGCATGAGGAGTTTTTCTGTGATAGTCACTGTGAAGATCTGATATAGTTCCTGGGTATAAAACTCACAAAAGTGTGCATGCCCCCTCTGCTCCTGTGACTGTGTTCTCCAGGAACTTTTAATTCTCATACATGTCCACATTGAGCCTTCAGCAATTCATCAATTACAGTTTAGTTTTTCCTATCCTGGCACTGGTTCCTTTGGAGGTTTTTGCTCTGGTAGGTTATAATCCTCTGAATCAACCTGTTTTATTTCACCAATTTTGAGGACAGCCATATGCTGTGTGATCTCACTTCTGTGATTTTTTTCAGTTGTTTAGCTTATTACTTTTTGAGATGGAGTAGTAACTTCTAAGTTCCTTACTTGCTACAATGGAAACAAGAAGTTCTACTGATTTTTTGACTCTTCACTGTCACTTGAATGTACTTTTTTCTTTGTCAACAATTATCATGTATGGAATCAGAATCTTTGCTTAGGGATCATGATGGTTGGAGATGCTTGTGTCAATAGTAAAGATAATTATAAGTCTGGTCACACAGTTCGTCTGTAGATTATAATTACTCAAGAAGCAAGCCACCTATTTTCATGCTTATAAATGATTTTTTAATGTCACAGAATTTTATACAATTTATTTCTTTATGAGTCAGAAATATTTTGAAGAGTGGCAGTCTTTTTGAAACGCTTCTCTAGCCTTCCAGTGTTGAACAAAACTACTCATTTGGTGGTGTAAATACTGGGTTACTAAAGTCAGCTTTTTCATTATACTTGAAGCCCTTTTTGGATCTTAAAAGAGGTACTAACCCCTGGACCACAGTCATACTTAAAATAATATTCCCTGCCCTGGTGATGTGGGCCTTTTTGAACTGACAGTTGAGAAATTTGATCATCTATGTGTAGGAACTGGAGTTGTGTGCAGAAGAGACCAGGTCCTTAAAGGCAGTACAAGAATTCCAAAGCCTCCAGCACCAGCCAGCAGATCACTGGCCTGAGGGACAGTCCCAGAAGCAGTGGGTGAAGAGTACATGCCCTGATCTTCCCAAGCATCTAAACACCAAGATGGCATCTCGGCCCTTGAGAGAGAGTGGTGAGTACCAAGAATCTAGAGTTGGAATGAAGCCTTCTCCCTCAAGTGAGAAGGTTGGGAGGTAAGGAAAAGTAAATGAAGGAGGGAGAATGTGTAGAATTCAAGGCAAGGGATAGATAGGTGTCTGATGGACACGCTTATAGACAAGTAAGGAAAGAAAATGTGTAGAGGAGGAGGAAGCTCCTACAAGACTGACATGCACCACTGTGGCTCCACTGGTACAGGTTGGGACTGGGGTGGGTAGGAATCATAGGACCCAAGGCTAGCATCCCACACATGGCACATCACTTAAGACAGCTTGGGAGCTCCATGCTCTAGAAGGTAATTAAAAGGGGAAGTCTGTGCTGGACGTGGGAATAGCCTCAGTATGATTCAAGTATGATTTTTGGCAAGCTGGATCTCAGAGGGAGGTGGCTCTTGGGATCCAGAGCTTGGGTATCAGAAGCTTTTGCTTTTCTTCAGCTGTCCTTACTCCCCGAGTCCCTCCTGTTCCAAAGATGGGGAGTGTTGAAGATTGGGAAGTGACAGCTGAGTCCAAGGTAAGCTGCTGTTTTTAATTCTCTTCTTGTCATGACTCTTAACTGTGCTCTTGCTCTCCAGTGTCCTCCTCTCTCCCTGGCCTCTTCCCAGCAAAAGGGTTAAGGCACAGAGTGCTGTGTTAGCCTTTGCTCAGCCTCCATGGTCATGCTGCTGCTGTGATGCTAGCCCTACATCTCCCTGATCTTCCTTGGGGTCTGGTATGGCTCCCAGGCTGTTTTCAAGGGTGAGTGATGTTTAGGGTCCTTCTCTTGTGCATGTCACAGGAAGCCCTGGGCCCCAGTAAACATGCTGAGAAGGAGTTCTGCAAGAACCCACCAGGAGACGACTGTGGGAACAGCGTGTGTCTTGGTAAGGAAAACTTGCCCTTTCCCAGGGCCTAAGATGGCCCATTTCTGGTATGCTCAGTTCCCAAAGAGGGTTTCTCTGCTCCCTTAAGAATCATAGCTCTGCAGTCTCTGGAATTTTAAAGAGAGGAAGAAGATTTGCTCCTTGTAGCTAACACTGTTACAGCCGGGAGAGAGTCTGGCTGGAGTGGGGCTGGCTTGAAGCCCATATGACTAGCACAGACTCTTTTCTGTGTAGGTTCACCTGTGTGGGAAGGCAGACACTAATGAGCCCTCACACTGTGGATTCTGGGGTCACCATGAGGGAGTTAAACACATGAATGGGGTGAAGTAGAAGAGACTGTGACAGGTCTGACTCACAGTCAGTTAGATACTAGAACCTTGTTGGCTGCTTGCTTGACAGTGGGATTCCTTTTTTATACATGAGATCTGGGGGAAATAGTGTTTAAAGGCACCAACTTTGGGAAATGCTGAGTTAGATTATCCTGAAGCCTCTTTTAGATCTAAAATCTTTTTTCATCTCGTTTTCTTTAATTCTTTTTTTTTTGGTGATACTGGGGTTTGAACTCCAAGTCTTATCCTTGCTAGGCAGCCACTGTACCACTTGAGCCATGCCCCAACCCTTTTTGCTTTGGTTATTTTTCAAATAGGGTCTCACTTTTATGCTGGATCTTGATCCTCCATGTGCTTCCTATGTACCTGGGATGATAGGCACATAACACCATGCCGAGCTTTTTTTTTTCTTTTGTCTTTTTGTGGTACTGGGATTTGAACTCTGGGTCTTATGCTCACTAGGCAAGCATTCTACTACTTGAGCCACTTCACCAGCCCATGCCCAGATTTCTGTTGTTTGAGATAGGGTCTCGTGAACTTTTTGCCCAGGGTGGCCTTGAACTACGGTCTTCCCAATCTCTGCCTTAGGCATGAGCCACCATACCTGGCCAAATATTTATTTTAATTAAAGTCTTTCTATTTTGCTAGGACTAGGAGCTATTGGAACAGCAGTTCTTTAAATATAGCTAACTGTTTGAAAAAATCAGAACATTTATTTTCTCATATTATTAGAAGTCCAGAGGAGGAAGCATTCCAACTATAGTACACATTAGCTCAGCAGTGCCCCAATGGCCCTACATTCTTTTTCTCTCTACCATACTCAGGATTTGCTTCATATTAAAACTTGTTTTGTATTACGGTAAAAAGAGGGATGCCAGTGGGCATCCTGGAAATCACAGGTTTCCTGGTAAGAGACTCACAACACACACACACACACACACACACACACACAGAGAATCCTTTCCCCAACAATGGAATTTGGTCTGACTGGGCTGATTTAGGTCATATCTCTGTCTCCACAGACAGATAGACACTTTTTTTTTCTTTTTTTTTTTTTTGGTGCTGAGATTGAACCCAGGGCCTCACGCATGCTAGGCAAGCGCTGTACCACCGAGCTACATCCCAGCCCATAGTCACTTTTTGATGTGATATATTTCACAATAATAGCCAGTCCTATTACTTCTGTTACTTTTCCTCAAGGAGATTAGCATGGAATCTTTCAACATCCTCTTTAAGGGAAAGGATATAAGTTTCAGGGACATTTCAGACTGTTCAACAGATAAATCATTTCTACTCAGTCATTTCTCTTCTTTTTGTGTAGGAGTTCCAGTTTTAAAACCAAGTATCACCTCCCAGAGAGAACCTGGACCAGAATTCTGGGATCTCAGTCTTACACATTCTGGAAAAAGGAACACTGCAGATTGCAGCCTCCATAGTGAGCAAACAAAACCAGCTCAGGCATTAGCCTGGAGGGAATCAAGTTCCTGGGAAGAGCAGTACCAATGGGATGTGGATGATATGAAGGTGTCAGGTGTTCACTGGGGCTATGAGGAGACCAAGACTTTCTTGGCAATTTTGAGTGAGTCTTCTTTCTCTGAAAAGCTCCGGACTTGTCACCAGAACCGCCAGATATACCGGGCTATTTCAGAAAGGCTAAGGGCACGGGGCTTCCTGCGGACCCTAGAGCAGTGTCGCTACAGGGTCAAAAACCTCCTACGGAATTATCGGAAAGCCAAGAGCAGCCACCCACCAGGGACCTGTCCCTTTTATGAGGAGCTGGAGGCCCTGGTGAGGGCTCGGACAGCCATCAGAGCCACAGATGGCCCAGGAGAGGCTATGGTACTCCCTAGGCTGGGGGATAGTGATGCTGAGATGGATGAGCAGGAGGAAGGTGGCTGGGAGCCCGAGGAAGCCGCAGAAGACTGTGACAGTGCTGGCCTGGCCACTGATGAATCTGTCCATGGGCCCAGGATTGCAGGGGGCCCAGCTCTGCTCCAGAGTCGTGTTGGTAAGAACATGGGGGTTTAACCAGATGCAGATTCTTACCCTCTTACCAGCCAGGCTGCTGCTCCCCGAGGTCAAGCACAGGCTGCAATTCTGGGTTGATGCCACTAGAGTAAGGCACTATTTCCTTAAGTCTTTCTCAGACCCACCTCTCTTCTCCTGTGATGAAGTCTCCTTACCCAAGTTTTCTTAGTTACAGAAGCAAACACTTTTAAAGCCTCAACAGACCTTACAGCAAGAATCCAGTATTTGTCCAGGTGTGTCCCTATTAATATGGGGATGATCATAGGTATTGCATGAGTGAGCTTTTAATTCCCATAGGTATATGTGTCTTTTAATGTATAAGAGCACATAATCATATGATTTCACAGATGGTAAATTTGTTAAAGAAAGCTAGATAGTGAAATACTGATTAAATAGAGAAGAAGCCATGACAATGTTGGCTGGACATTCAATGTGTGGTAAACACCCAGTTGTTGTAAAAGTGAAACACTGAAGCTCAAGAGATGAAGCATCTTACCTACAGACAAGCAGAGGTAGGAGCAGAGCCCAAGCTCCTGCCAGTTTCATGTGATTTTCTTCCCCTATGATGCCACTCTGGGCTGCATCACTTACCTCAGAGGAACTGAGACTAGACCTCCTTAGCAAAAGAGGAAAGAGCATCCTCAGTTGGATTCTTTGCATGGTTATTTGAAATCCATCTATATTTTTGATCTTTTCTGTTTTCTTAAAAGGAGAATTAACAAAGGAGATAGAGGGTTGTATTGAGTGAATATAGGGAGAATCTTATAGATCCCAATTATCAGTCAGCTGACAGCAAGTGAGTGGTACAGTTGATAGACTATGGCCACCTAAGTCCTCTCCTTCAGGAAGACTGGAAGTACTAATAGAATCTCTTAGAAGGGGTGGGGTAGAATGTATTAGCTGAATTTCCTAGCATGCCCTGAGAAACAAGTTTGTGTTCCCAGGCTCCTGGACAGTTTCTGAGATGCCTGTATTCTAGATATTAAGAAAGGCAGGTGACCCCAGTCCCTAATAACCTCGGCAAATTTTAAGTCTCACACCTAAACTCTTCACTCCTGACAGCAGGTGTGCACTGGGGCTACGAGGAAACCAAGGCCTTCCTGGCAATTCTTAGTGAGTCCCCATTTTCTGAAAAGCTTCGCACCTGTCACCAGAACAGCCAGGTATACCGGGCCATTGCAGAACGGCTGTGTGCACTGGGCTTTCTGCGGACACTGGAGCAATGTCGCTATAGATTCAAAAACCTCCTTCGAAGCTACCGGAAAGCCAAGAGCAGCTGCCCACCAGGGACATGTCCCTTCTATGAAGAACTGGACTCACTGATGAGGGCTCGGACTGCGGTCAGTGCCATGGAAACTGTTAGGGAAGCCACGGGTGTCCCTGGGTCTGGGCAGAGCAATATTGAGGCTGATGAGCAGGAGGACTGGGGTGAGATGGCAGAAGAAGATGCCATCAAACCTCCAACCCCATGTCCTAAAATTCCAGACACAGGTAAGCCTAGAATCACTGGGTATTCACAAAATCTGCAGGCATGTAAAAAGAGGGCAGCCAGGTGCATTGTCTTTTGTCCCTGAGCTAAAAGAGAGAATGGATTGCGTGAAAAGGATATGTGCTTTGCTGAGATTATCACTAAACTTAGTGTGGTCCCCCACATAATATAGCTTAGTTTTTACTGGGATGTGCCTGGGCAATTATAGAACTGACAGTGTTCTAAGACACAGGAACCACTGAATGTACTGGAAGGAAGAAAATGTTCATTGTTGAATGTGAGATAGGAGAGTTGGTCAGGGAGGCTGATTAAGCCAACTGCTTGGTCTGGGCTTCACAGATCCCTTGATGGGGTCACCATGTCCCCAGGCTATAATGCTCAGCTTTGCAAGTTTAGAAACACATTTGTGCACCAAAACTTGATAAATTTCATGTTAGTCATATTTATAAGATGTGACATATAAGACACAAATTCAGATTAGTCAAATTCACAAGATATAAGGTACAAATACATAAATAAATGCTAACTACTGAGTGAACAAAAACTGCATTTCTGTTCATTCTTTCAGGTTTTGAATTGAGGCATGAGGATGAAGACCAGATTTCAGAGCAGGACATTTTTGAGGATTTGCCTGGGACCTTATCAAAATGCACTACAGAGTCTGTTTTCCAAGCCCCTGATTGGGGGGAAGACAGTGAAAATGAAAACGAAAGTAAAATGAAGTGTGAAACTCCCCCACAGGAACAGTGGGAAGAGTGTTCCTCTGAGGAGGACTTAGAAAAACTCATTGACCATCAAGGCCTGTACCTTGTGGAGAAACCCTACAAGTGCAAAACGTGTGTGAAAAGCTTCAGTCGGAGCTCGCACTTCATTGCCCACCAGAGGACCCACATAGGTGAGAAACCTTACAAATGCCTTGACTGTGGAAAAAGCTTTAGTGATCGCTCCAACCTCAATACCCATCAGAGAATCCACATGGGGGAGAAGCCATACAAATACCTTGAATATGAGAAAAGTTTCAGTGACCACTCTAATCTTGTCACCCATCAGAGAATCCACACAGGGGAAAAGCCTTATAAATGTGGGGAGTGTTGGAAAAGCTTCAACCAGAGCTCAAACCTTCTGAAACATCAGAGAATCCACTTTGGAGGAAGTTCTGACCAGTGTAGTGAGCCTGGGGAGAGTTTTCGACAAAGACCATCACTTAGTGCTCACTGGCAAAATTCTGCAGAGGAGACAGCTGAACAACCACAGAGTGTCAGTGCAAACTTGAGCTCTCCTGGGCCCCACAGTACCAACTTGGGGGAGAAAGTATATCAATGCTCTGAATGTGGTAGATGCTTCTCAAAGAGCTCTGCCCTCATTAGCCACCAAAGAATCCACACAGGAGAGAAACCGTATGAGTGTGCTGAATGTGGGAAAAGCTTCAGCAAGAGCTCCACCCTGGCCAACCACCAGCGAACCCACACAGGGGAGAAGCCATATAAGTGTGTGGACTGTGGGAAGTGCTTCAGTGAGCGTTCCAAGCTCATCACACACCAGAGAGTGCACACTGGAGAGAAGCCCTACAAATGCCTTGAGTGTGGAAAGTTCTTCCGGGACCGTTCTAACCTTATCACTCACCAGAGGATTCACACAGGAGAGAAGCCGTATAAGTGCAGAGAATGTGGGAAATGCTTTAACCAGAGCTCCAGTCTTATTATTCACCAGAGAATCCACACCGGGGAGAAACCCTACAAGTGCATGGAGTGCGGCAAAGACTTCAACAACAGCTCCCACTTCAGTGCCCACCGGAGAACCCATGCAGGAGGGAAAGCATCATAGGAGACCCCTCTCCCCAGTAAAACAGTGACGTGTATATTTACATCTCCTAAGATTCTAAAATGTACTAGAAAGAAACCTTCCAGTTTTTAAGCTTTGTGTATACCCAGGGAAATAATCTTGGTAAAATCCAGGTAATTTGGAAGAGAATTATGAATACTAAGGATCCAGATTTGAAGTCACTTTTCTCAAGTGTAATTTGTTTTTCTTCCTATAAAAACCGGCATAATCCTCAGGCTGTTCTTACATTTGCTATTGTGTAAGAGCTTTATCAGTATTTGAGCCAGACTGGTGACTTGGGGGATTAGCTCAGTTAGTAGCCCTGAGCAGTGATTCCAAACTTTCACTGTGCTTTTGCACTGTCTACGTGCACACACCCATGGGCAGTGGTTTTCATATGTGGCAGGGTGCAGTCGGGGCATATCCTCTCAGGAGAACCTTGAGACCCCCCCTGGTGAGGGCATAACTAAGAACCAGTGGCCTAGAGCATTCCACCATGAGCTGAGCAACAAGTAGGAATAGCAGTGACAGTGTTACAAAGTCATTATTAGCAATAGCAAAAATAGTATTTGATGAGTATTTTCTCTTTGTCAGGCTCTGTGCTAAGCACCTTATATACATCATCTCATTTAATCCTCTTGACAGTCCCAGGAGATAGCTACTGATTTTCTCCCTATTTCTTAGAAGAGAAAACTGAGGCTTGGGAAAGTTAAATAACCCACACATCTGAAAATGAGAGAAAATTCAGCCAGACCTTTGGAGTCTGAGGACCTCCCAGTGCTTCACTGAGTTCCCTTTCAAAACATTAGGGCAGGTAACTCTAGTGCCAGGATCTCAATGTGTGGTAATTATTTAATGAATTCTCCCTTTAAGAAATATGGAAGCCAAGAATCTAAAGATGAAAGATTTGTGTTCAGAACTGGTGAAGTGCTGTGAGCGAGGTTGAGCTATTATCTAAGTGATGGATGTGAGTTTCCATCTTTACAGTAATATGGGTAAGAGATATAGGCGGATTGAGATTAGAAAAAATATGTAGCAAAGTGACGTGTCTTCCAATGAAATAGTGCTTTAGCTAAGGAAGTAGTGTTTAAGAGTCTCCTTTTCTTAGGGATCAGTCCTGCTTCTTGTTATACTTGGCTGATCACAGGTTAAGTCTTAACAGAACCAGGAGTTCCCCTCCAGTGCTCACTTACCCCAGTGTTTTGGCCTCTCTGGCCTATTTTTGTTCCTAGTCCTGATGCCAAGACTGAGGTGGATGGAGTTGGTGTGTGGTTCTCTACTGAGAGGTTCCACATTCTCTGTTCGTGGCAGCATTTTATCTTGAGCCCTCTTGTCCCAGGCCTACCCAGTGCTGGCCATTCAGACCAGTCTTTCACACAGACAGGCCAAATCAGAGAGGTTTACATAGAATGAGTTCCTCATCTGCAGCCCTTTGGCCTCCAGAGTTTCTCCTTAAAAGGAGTTAAAAATATTGGCCATGAACTTTGGTTTCTGTGCAGTTTTAAAGGAAAATCCCTTTCCCATTATCTCCCTATGACACTGGGATGATATTCATATCCTGGTTATTTCATGGCCTTGGGAAATACCTATCAGATAATGGGTGTGATGGAACCTTAAAGACTGGAACCTCTATTCATATGTGAAAAAGTAGGTGGAGAGTTTCTCTGTTTCCACAGGGGTCACTCCTTAACCCCTTCCCTGTTCCAGAACCTCCCCAAGAACCAGTCCATCTGGGGTCACAGCCAATTTACATTTCCTGACTCACCTTATCTCTGAGGGGCAGCAGTCATGGGATGGGCCATGGATTGAGGCCAGCAGATGTCAGTAACTACAATAAGATGATGATGTAGAAAACCATTAGTGCTGAAAGGAAGGTCCCAAAGGAGAGAAGGGGGCTCCAGAGAAAAGTACTGGGGGACATAAAACTTCTTAGCGCTATTAGGTTGTAGAATGAGGGAGGGGAGTGATGGGAGTTGAGACTGGATAGTGCTGGGGCAGGGTGTATATGAGTGGAACTTAAACACCAGCTAAGGGTGACATGTTCAGATATGCATTGTCAGAATCTCATAACTGATTGGAACTTGGGTATGCTGCAGTTAGAACCACTCTTGGAACACTGGCAATATTCCAGTTAATAGGTAAGGCCTGAACTAGGGCAGTGGTTACACAAAAGAGGAAGGGATGCATTTGTAGGGTTTCAGAGGCAGACTCGAGGACATCAGGGGAAAACTAGAATATCTTGGGTGACTGGGTAGAGCATGCATTACTCAGAATTGGGGACATGAAAAGATGCAAATAGTGCAGCAGGGCAGATTGTAAGTTTAGTTTGGGACATTTTGAACTCAAGGTGCTTAATAGGCATCCAGGTGACAATATTTATGTCTGGGCCTGAAATCAGAGGAGAATTTAGGCCTAGAGAATTATCTGCATGTGCATGGTAGTTAAACTCATGAGAAAGGGATTATGCTCAAAGTCAAAGAACTATCAAGACTAGGGCAGAACTTGAGAAGAACCAAAATGGGGAGAAAGGTACCCCTCAAAGGAGATCTGGATCACTTTCCACTCTCACTTCTGTCATCTTTTGGGCTCTGCCTCCCTTGCTTCTGACACTTGGATTCTCAGTGTAGTGGAAGCCAAATTGAGCTCTATCTGGAAGTGAGATGGTAGCCTTCTCTCTTCTTAGTGTCACTTTCCCTGCTATTGGGATTGTGCTAGTGTCTCCTGTTTTCAGTAAGTAGTTTTGATGCCTATTATCTGTCACTACTTTCTCACAGCTCTTAATTGTAGACTCAGCCATGAAAGCAAGGGCAGCATGGGCCAGGAGAGAACCCAGGGTCCAAGTGATCCCTCACTCTCTGTCTACCTGACTCTTTGGAAGAAGTACTCTTTCAGGTGGTGTCATTGTTCAGGGCCTGTCCCACCACCTTGCTGGTGCACCCAGACATAACTCCAGAAGGTCTTTGTTACACGGATAAACTGACATCTGTTTTTACCCATCCTGCTCATCAGGAGTAGATTCTCACAGCAGAATGGTGGACAGTTGCTCACCTTGCATGGCCATGGGTCAGATCCTGGTTATGGGAAACTGAAGCAACAAATGGCTGCCCTGGGAGAGTGTTGTATGTGAGCTGCTAAAAGTGGGATCATCTCCCTTGACAGATGCATCTCCTTCCTTAATCTCTGTACCTTCCACCTTAGGAAGAGCATTCACTCCTTTGAAGTGATAAAGAGGCACCTAACCACTTCCCATTCCACAGACTCCTCATGATGCAGAAGAACCAAAGGTAAGGGCAGGACTATAATGCCTACAGCAGTTTTTTCCTGAGACTTGTTCCCCAGGGGCTGCCTTACTCTGACTGTACCACCCCCACCAAAGCAGTGTAAAACAACTGGTTTCTTGCTCCAGTGTGGATAGCTCTGCCCCCAGGGTGCAGAGAAGAGTTTATATTTAGTTGTTGTGTGGAGGGGGAGAAACCCCAAAGGGGTTGGGATGTAGTTTTTGAAGTCATGCCTGCAGCAGAGTTCAGAGTGGAAGTGAATTAGTTGGTGTTTGTGTTTGTGCTCCACAGTGCTTTCCCAAGGCTTGCTTTTCTATGTCTTATGTCTTTCTTATTTACTACTGTGTAATGCTGATGACTTCTGAATCCATGTCCTACTCAGGCTTCTCCTCTTGGAAGCCCAGCTGCCTTCCAGCCAGCCCTACTTGTGTGACTCCTGGGCCCCGCAAAGGCCCACATCCACCTGCAGCCATCTTCAATCTCTCTGCCCATCCATTCAGCATGTTAAGATGCTTGGAGGAGGCAGCAGAGAGCAGAAGAGGCCCTAGTTTCTTCTTATCTTATGGCTAGTTCTCCCACTCCGAAAGCTGACAGTGTCTTTGTTATAAGAGCCACTTGGTTAAGTCAAGAGCCTCAGAACAGTGAACTACAAAATCTAATGCAATAATTTTGTCCAAACACACTGAACAAGTAGACTGGGGATTCTCATGGGCACTAATTTTCTACTCCAGCCACCATTAGTTATTCTCTACATGTAGATTCTGATAATTTCTGCTATCACATGATATTTCTAAAATCACATTTAGTTTTCATATTTTCATTGTAGGAAAATACCCCATAATTGTGCCACCAAAAGGACAAGGGTCATAGGAAGGCAGGTTAGGAAAACAAGAGTCTCTAAGTCTGCTCCTAGGTGGCGTTATGCCTGGGCTGACAGCTTTTCTCACTGAGCTCAGGAAGCCCTACTTTGGTGACAGGTGACAATAGTGACACAGGGGAAGAAGGCTTCTCTTTTTCCACTTAGAACATGACTTGGCTTCATTGCTTTGGGGAACTGATAGACCATAAAGTAGTTTCTGTGTATTTAGAGGCAGCCATGACCATCAGGAGGTAGCTGAAGGGTGCACCCTGGAGGCAGTGGTAACAAGTTCCTTTGTAATCCCAGGGGACATGGCAGGAATGGACACCCTCATGGACAGCATCTGATAGGGATGGGTTTGTTCATTACCACACCTGGGGAGCCCTGCACCTGAAGTTTCCAAGGAATAGGTGTAGGAGGTGAGGCTAGGTAGGTAGGAGGTCATGTTAACCCCATCTAGTGTGTCCTGGGGAAACAGTACAGGTGTTACCTGCAGGGACATATCTTGAACAATTAATTTCTTAAGGAAACTAGACATTTTTGATTGATTTTGGTGACTGAAATTAAAATGGATTAAAATAGCATCCAGGAGGCTCTGGACTTAAGGTCCAGTTCTAAAACAAAACAGATCCTTTGGTTTGCAGTGTGTGTGCCTGATTTCATTTTATCTGGCTTTGTTTTTACTTCTCTATCTTTTATTGCTTTTCTTTTTCCTGCATTATGTACATCTTCTAAAGCTAGTCAAATTCTATTTGGAGATGGAATGGTTTGATTAATGAAAACTACTGCAAAAAAAAAAAAAGAACTTGGTTTTGGATTCTTCTGACATTTTCCTGGTTACACAAAAAGGGTAAAGGAAAGAAGGAGGAGAAATAATTGAGACACAGTGTGGCCATCATCACTGAAATTGGAGCCCAGGATCTCAAGACCCTTGTGCTGGGGAAGCATCTTTCTCTCTCTCCTCTTTCTGCTTCTTCAGGCATGGATATATACAACCTCATTGCCTCTTGCCCATTACAAATGGCCCCTTGGTTTCTGGCCTTCTGCACATATCAACTTTATGTCTCCAGGATCTCTGTGCTAGGAAATCTGAAGTATCCAAGACAGGGATGATTATGGATGAAAGGAAAGCCAGGAGTTCTCAGAGGGCTGAGTCTTACTGACTGCTCTGATTTGCTTCCCACTTCAGGAACAGAGCTAATGCCCTTCCTATTTGAGAAAGAGGGGAGAGCAGGTTTTCTTGGGGGATTTTTGTCCTTCCTCCACCCATTTTCTGTCTGGTAACATTAAGAACACTTTGAGTTTAAGGTTGAAGTTTCCTTATAAACTGTCACTCTGTTATCCTTATTGGATGGGATATAGGCAACTGATTGTCCTTGAATTCAGATTGTGAATTGGTAGAAAGAGAGCATGATATTTCAGACATCGACATGGCTTTGCTCAGCATCCATAGGTAATCTGTTCTTCCTGCAAAAGTCAGAACCTTGTGTGTAGGCAGTAGTTGTGGTTGGCATGTGCTGATGTTTTGCATATCCTGGTACAGAGGTGAGACCTGGAAGGAAGTGTCATGGTCTCCTTGAGGAGCAAGCTCTGGGTCTTGTTGGCATGTTTTCATGTAACTTCTTCCTAGCAGTTGCTACACTATTGACCAGACCTACAGGACATACCTTCCTGGAAGACAGGACAGAGGCCACAGACTCCTTGTCTACGCTCTTGCTGTTAACCGTGGTTTAACCACAAGCATAAAAGCTACTTACAATGCTGGGGTCCACTAAGGTTGGCCAGCCAATCCAGGCAGGAACAAGAACTCGAAAGGGTCCAATCTAGACAGCCTGAGAACTGGTCAAGGCCTGTATATTTGAGAATTTAACACCAGGAAATAAACTTACCCAGGGAGATGCCTCATTGGGGTTGGCTGTATTGGCTCTCATGTCAAAGAGGATGGATGCTCATGTGGCCAGAATTTTTGGACTGAACCAGGAATCTGAGTGATGGGGTACTCGATCCTCAGCCAGAGTGGGTGCCATCAGGTGAGATCAGAACATCTTTGGTGTTGAGGTCTGGAGAGGAGGAGTGAGGGATCTGATCATTACAGAGCTCAGGCAGCTTGAGGAAGGAGCCAGGTCAGTCTCAAAGGATTGAGAGGCGATGAGAGGAAACTGGAAAGAAGGAAGTAGGTAAGGAGGACAAACAGGAAGAGTTGTAGATGAACAGATAGGGGAGGAGACAGCCACCATTGGAAGATAGGAAGGGTAAGAGGTAGAAATAGGGGCCAGCTGCCCAGTGTTCAGTGAGTGAGGTTGGCAGCCAGCCAGGAGAGGCAGACATTGGGCAGGTAGAACTGAGGAGGAGAGCAGGAACTGGAGCATGGGGAGGAGCATGTAGAGGACAATCACCAGGCAGCTTCTTCACGATTCCCAAGTGAGAAATGGAGGGATGGACCAATTACTCCAATACCTTATCTTTTTGTGATTCAGACACCATAGTAATCAAGACCAAGGATTCTTGGGGTGTGCTGTTCAAGATGGCAGCTACTAGCTGTATGTATTTGTGGAGCCCTTGCCATGTGGCAAGTCTGAATTGAGATGTGTTGTAAGTGTAAAATACACACCAGATTCTGAAGACTGATTTGAAAAAAAAAACAAAAGATTTCACTATTTTTTATACTGGTTACATCTAGAAATGATAATATTTTGGATAGGTTAGGTTCAATAAAATATATTACTAAAATTAATTTCACCCGCTTCTTTTTACTCTTATAAAGTGGTTACCAGAAAGCTTTAAATTGTACATGCCATTTGCATTTGTGGGTTGTGTTGTTTCTATTCATAGCACTATTCTAGGGCCTGAACTAGACCCTCACAGCCTCACTGCATAGACAAAGCAATCAAATCCTAGGGGCTTATTCACACTCAGTGTAGCAGCATGTGGCCTGGGATCCATGATGGTAGATCACATCAGTGTAGGGCTTTCTCTATAATCCCAGCTGGTCGGATGGGAGCTTTTGCTGTGTGCATGCTGCCCTATGTCTATGTCTTTTCACAAGCCCAGGCCTTACATAACTCATTATCACTCTTACAGGGAAGGCCACTAAATGATGGGTCATATGGACCAAATGAAAGCAGTCACAACCCAATGGCCTCCCAGGATGTAATAGAGAGCTGAGTTGGGGTATTAGGAACTGAAAAGTTTCTGAAACTGGTATAGAGTAAAGGAGGGAAGTCAAAATCTTAGACTTGGTCTATATGACACATCCGTGTCTTCAAAATCTCAGAGTTTATCTCCTTGAATCCTACTTGTGTGAAGTTTTCAAGAGAAGATGTTATTCCCACTTCCCAGAAACTGAGGCTCACAAAGAGAACATGGCCAGAAGCCCATAGTCTGATGAACACAGAGGTGGAATTGAAGAAGTTTTTTAACCAGGATTCCTCATGGCTGGTTCAGTGCTCTTTCCATTCAGCCTATGATGCAGAGGATTGAAAAGAAAGTCCATTGATCACTATGATGCACCTTTCCCACCCTCAGGACTTCCCAGTGCTTATTCCTGTAGGATTCTGTGGTATGGAAGATGGATTTTGTTGCATACCTTAGGTATACAAGTCAGTAGCTCCCTATCCATATAGATCTGAATACTGGGTCAGGGTCAAAGTCCATCCCAACCCTACCCCCCTGAGTCCTCAATGATCCAGCTTAGTTTTCTTGTTCCTTGCCCAGTGCTATGTGTGCTTCTGCAGGGGCTACTGTTCCACACCCCTCTCCTGTGTTTATCCTACAGATGAATTGTCTGAAACAATGCCCAGTGTTGGGAGTACCTGGCTCTCCCAGGCCTCCCTCACATTGCTGCTTTTATTGATCATCCCTTCCTAATGCCCTGGGCTGCTGCTTCTGATGCCTGTTGTGCCCCACAAACCCATCCATCCATCCCCTTTGAAGTCCTGCTCCCCATTAACCAACCCCCTTTAGCCTCCACCTACTGTTCTGCCTTTCCTGGAGGATCCTGCTTCCTTTCATATGTAGGCTGCTTGGTTGCTTGCACCCAGGGGCCTGTTAGTGGGGAGGCAGTTTTGTTCTTCTCACTCCTCTTTGCTCCCTCGACATTTTTACTTCTTTCCTCCCTATTCATTTGGGTAATAATTAAGAGCTAATTACCTGCAAAAGGCCTAAGGATCTGAGTTGTGTGATGGTAATTTCAGCTTCACTGTAGCTCAATGAGACAGTGTTGTTACCATTCCTATTTTACAAAGGGGCCAGAGAAGCTCAGGCTAGTAGCTTGCTTTAGGTCATAGAGGTAGTAATGTGGGAAAGCCCAGACTTCAACTCAAGTGCAGTAGTTTGGCTTCTGGGTGGTGCTCATAATTACTACTTCACTGTAGGCTCCTTTGAAAGGCCTGCTCTTTGATGCCAATGCTGCTCACCTGTATTATCTGGTATCCTCTTCCTGTCCATGTCAGCTGCTACCTTCTGAACATTCTCCTGTACTCACCCGAGATTCTCTTCTCTTGCTGGCAGTTCTCTGCATCCCAAACTCTTGCCATCACCCTGGATGACTGATATATCCACAGGAGGCCATGTGGAGCACTATCTTTGATGTCACAGTTGCCTCCACCACTCTAGCCCAGCCCACCACTTCTGATGTCATCAGTTCAACTAATCTAGACACTGGTCTCTCTCCTGAGCTCCAGATCTGCTTAACTTATTACCTGGAATCTCCTCTGGGGCTCAGCACATCTGTGCCAATTTCCTTGTTAAACCTGCTTTCCTGTCATTTAGACCTGCAGGAGTCATCCTTGAACCTCTCTCCACCCTTGCCTGTACATCCAATCAATCATCATTCCTCGTGGAATAAGTCTCCCAAAGGGATCTTGACTCCATCCATTGCTACAGACTTCATTCTGGCTGCCATCACCCCTACCTGGCTGACTGAAGTTGCCTCACCAATATTCCTGCTGCTACTCTGGCTTCTCTTCAACCCAAGCTCCCAAAGTAGCACGCTATTTCCCTACAAGGTAAGTCAAGTCACTTCACTCCACTTCCCACTACAGATGCATGATTTTGCACTTGCATTCTGTCATACACTGCCCCGCCTCCGCCTTTATCACACTTCAATCACTTCAGTTTCCTTTCAGTTCCTTCAATGTTCTGAGCCCTTCCCAAACTTTACACATGTAATTACTGCTACCTGGAATGCTCATCCCTGTATTCATCACTGGCTAATGCCAACTCACCTTTTAGGTTTCAATAGAAGTCCCAGAAATACTATCCCAAACTCCTACCCCAACCCATGTCATCTCCCCACCCATTGCTTTTCCTCATACACTCATCAGTCAGTGATTCCATGTTTACTTCTTAGTATCCAAGAGCATTGCCTTTTTGTTTAGGAAACTTGCTCCTCTCATGAAGCCCAGGTGTGTCTGAACTTCTCGTACTTCCAGTTCCAACGTAGCCATGCTTTTTCCAAAGGTAGTCCCATTTCCCTTGACTCTTTCTCCATCCAGGCACACAATAAACTAATCAGCAATGACATTCCCATGATGCCTGGATTGATTCAGGAATGGATAACCCATTTGTGCCAATGAGAAGGCACGGCTAGAAAATATTTCTTCCTTTTACCACCCGGGGAAAAGTAGAGTGAAAGCCACACATGCAGCACAGCTGAGGGAATCCCAGAAAAATGGAGCTGGAGATACCAGCTAAGCCAATTCCAAAGCCCACCCAACTACTGGACTTTGTGAACCAATGCATTTTCTTGGTAAGTTAGTAAAAAGTTGGGTTTCCTCTTCTTTGCAGGTGAGAGAAATGCACCTAAGAACCTTTGGTCTCATTCCCTCTGTTCCTCTAGCCATCACTTCCTTCCCGATTTCATTCCTTTCTCTCCAGCTTAGGAACCATAAATCAGAATTTCAACCATTCCAATCAGTGTCCTTGTATTTCTCTTGTTCTTGTGCTCTCTCTGGCAGAGTTTTGAACTCAGGGCCTTGAGCTTGCTAGGCAGGTGCTTTACCACTTGGGCCACACTCCTAGCCCTTTTTTCTTTAGTTATTTTTCAAATAGGGTCTATACCTCAGTCATCCTAGAACACAATTCTCTTATTTACGCTTCCCTCATAGCTGGGATGACAGGTGCATGCTAACATGTTCGGCTTTTATTGGTTGAGATAGGGTCTTTTCAACTTTTTTTTTTAACCTGAACTGGCCTCACACTGTGAACCTCCAGATCTCCACCTCCCAAGTAGCTTGGGTTACAGGTGTAGCCACCTCTTTTTGCTTATATTTATGCTATTGACTTTGGGCTGAGAGAAAAACATAATCAGAAAGATTGTTACCATAATACATTCATGGTCAATTGGGCCCTAAACAATGTCCAACAATCATCATCTGAGGTTGTTCATGGCAACAATATGAAGACATTTTATAATTGAAATGTCCAATAAAGGGGATTGTGATACAAATTACAGTACTAGCAGTTAATGGAAAACCAAGCATCCATTTAAAATGGGGAAAATATACATGACTGCATGTAAGAATTCCATGATAAATTGTTAGCTGAGGGGTAATATTACTAAAGTGTGTGTGTAGACACCAAACATTTTCAAAGGATCTAAAGCAACCATGTTGCCATGGTTATCTCAGAGTTAGAGAAGTTTTGTGTGTTTTTTAAATATAGTGATCAAAATTAATTTATCACAAATTTGAAGTTATTTACATTCCTATGAAATAAAAGCAAGGGCCAGAGATGATCTGTAGTTCTTATTAGAATTCTAAACTTCACGTACTCTCCTTCTGTTCTTAGAATATTTTCCAGCAGAAAGGCAGCCACAAGGTATTGTGTCAGATTTTATTAGAAATATTATTTACAAGTTTTACATATTATTAGGTTTGTTTATTTTTTCATTTGGTTTTCAATTTAGGGGTTTCTTTATTGTTTCATAATTACGGGTTTGAGGAAGATCGTATCCCCTCACCCAGAGTAATTCATGTAAGATCAGGATTACATATTCTTTTGCGAAATTCTCCTGTAAAATAATGTAGGCCTGAAGAGATACATGAAAAAATGTTTAGCATTGCTAATCATCAGGGAAATGCAAATTAAAACCACAATAATGGCTGAACATGATGGTGTCTGTAAGTCCCAGCTACTCAGAAGGCAGAGGTAGGAAGATCCCAGTCTGTGACTGGCCCCTGCAAAAGCGTGAGACCCTATCTGAAAAACAAACTAAAAGCAAAAGGACCAGGGCATAGCTCAAGTGGGAGAGCACTTGCCTAGCAAGAGTGAGTCCTTGAGATCAATCCCCAGTACTGCCAAAAGCAACAAAACAAAACAAAACAAACCTCACAATGAACTCTTATCATCTCACACCTGTTAGGATGGCTTTTATCAAACAGATGAAAGATAAGTGTTGGTGAGGATGTGGGGAAAGAGGAACCATTCACACTTTGGTGGGTAAATGAGTACAGACATGGAAAATAGTATGGAGGATTCTTGAAAAGTTAAAAATAGAAGTACTATTTGATTTAAAAATCTCATCAAGGAAATAAAATCAGTATGTCAAAAAGACATTTGCATTAACCTGTTTATTGCAGCTTTATTCCAAATAGCAGAGAATAATCTGGGTCTATCAACAGATTACCGGACAAATACAATGTGGTATATATACACACTAGAATGCTATTCAGCCTTAAAAATAAGGAACTTCAGTCATTTGTGGATGAATCTGAAGGACATTATGATAAGTGAAACAAGGCACTGCATGACCTCACTTACATGTGGAATCTAAAAACATTGAACCTATAGAGGGCTGGACAATGGGGATTATTGAGGGAGACACTGCTCAAAGGATGCAAAATTTAAACTGGGGAGCAAGTTCAAAAGATCTACTCAATAATAATGAATTGTATGCTTGAAAATGGCTAAGAGAGTATTTTGTGTTGTCGCCACATGTAAGCATGTGAGGTAATGCACATGCTAATTTGCTTGATTTAGCCATTCCACAATGTATACGTATTTCAAAACATTGTTGTATACCATAAACACATATATGCAATTGTTATTTGTCAATTAAAAACAAAAAAGAATTTGCCAGATAAAACAATCTTAAAACACATGTCCAAATAAATAACTTCAAATATATATCTAAAACATAGTATAGGTCTGACCTTTTCATTCAAGTTTTAATTTTAATTTAGTTTAATTTAAAGAGGTTCTAACTAAAGAAGTTTAATCCGGGGAGATGGTAATGATATGTAATACCCAGTCTACAGTCTTTGAGCGTTTCCTCGCTTCCTGTTATAGTAAGATGTGCTGGGCTGTATTATGCTTCTCTTGCCCTCCATGTGGAATCAACCATTTCTCCAAGGATCCTTATTTCCTCTTAGTGTATGGTGTTCAGTGTGCTCATTCCACTGGAGTCCTTCCTTCCAGACTTTTTCCATTGGCAGAACTAGAAAATATGTATCTATTTTAAGCTAAACAAATTTATGTTAATATTTCAAATTCAAATTTAAAATTATATGATTTTTATTAACTATTGTATATTTTTATCCCTTTTGCAGGTAACATCTTGATGCTAATTAACATTAACATATGATTTACTTTTTCATATTGTATACATAAAATGATTTTAAAATTGCAACCTTAACATTACTATTAATGATTAAGTGATGTCTAAGATTTCTTGACAGTGCGTCTTGGCTTTACAATATATGTCATTAAGTCAGAGTTTGTGTTCAAAAGTGACTTAAAATAATGATCGGTTTGGTATATTTGTATTCAACTTAAGTATTTAAAAAACTTTTTAATTTTTAAATATTCCAATGTATAAATTTACATTTAAATATTGAAATGTATAAATTTACTTGGTATAAAAGTTAAAACTTCTACAAAGAGATATGCTCAGGTTTGCTCTCACTCCAATCCTTCCATCCTATTCCCACCCACCTCTGTATATAGGGAATGGTGATTAATACGTCCTCCATTTTTGGCAAGAAAAGCAAATAGGCACATAAGTTATAATTTTCCCTCCCTTATTTTTGTAAGAAACACTTTATATTATGATAAACTAAACATACATGAAAGTAGAGGGTATAATGAATACAGATTCAAGAATAGTCATGGCCGCTCCTGTTTTATGTATATTGTCACAGTCCTTCCAAAAGTTATTAGAAGCAAATCCCAAGCATCATATCATTTCATCCATAAACATTTCAATATAAAGATCCCAAAGATAATCACATCCCTAATAATATACATATATCCACAATTCCCTCAATACACGTGAAAGTTAAAATTATTAATGTAATAAAATATTCAACTAGTGTTCACATCTCATAGATTGCTTCAAAACTTTTACGATTTGTTTGTTTGAATTTGGATTCAGATAAGGTTGTGCAGTGCAAATGGATTTAAGATTTGGCCATTTTTGCTGAGGAGTTTTCAGGGGAGTCTGTGTTGTCAGTCATATCCCTACTGTTCCATCAAACTTGTTTCTGCCATCTGTATTTCCTATAAATTGAGATCTGTAAGTTTGATTAGGTTCAGATCTGATTTTGGGGGTGAAGAATACTTCACAGGTGGTGGTGTACACTTCCATCAGAAGACACATAATGTCTGGCCACATTTCTTTTAGTGATATTAGCAGCCATTGATGATCATTGCAAGGATTTTTTTTCCAGTACTGGGTTTTGGATGCAGAACCTTACACTTGCAAGGCAGGAGCTCTACCAATTGAGTCACTCCTCCAGCCCTTTTTGCATTGGTTATTTTTGAGATAGGTCTTGTGTTTATGCCCTGGCTGATCTGGACTATAGTCTTCCTATTTATGCTTCCCACGTAGCTGGGATGACAGACACACACCATCATGCCCAGTTATTGATTGAGATGGGGTCTCACTAATGTTTTGCCCAAGTTGGCCTTAAACCTTAATCTTCCTGATCCCCACCTCCCAAGTAGTTAGGATTACAAGTATGAGCCACCAGCCCCGCCTGCCAGGATTTATTGGAGTTTTAAAACAGTGATATTTGAATTCTGTTCCTCATTTACTAGCTGGAACATTTCTATTAAGAGAAACTTACTTCCTTTTCTTAACATATGGTTACCCTGAAATACATTTCATAAAGAAAAGACTTGCTTCTCCCCTTTTTATTTACTGGTTACCAAAATTATGAGCGATTTCCGTATCAGTTTTCCTAAGTGATCAATGAGTTTTTTAAGTGTTATGACGTCATCAATTCAATGTATTCACCATGTTTCCATCCACGGTCTTTATTATTATTATTTATGCCCAAATTGCCCCATCATTTGTCCAGTGGGAGCCTCTTGAAGCTGATTCTTGAGTTCCTTTGATAAGACTCAAGTAGTCTTGGGTAACTTTCCTGGTTCCTCCCTGCCCTTTTTTTTTTTGGTGCGGCTGGAGTTTGAATTCAGGGCTTGGTTCTTGCAAAGCAGGCTCTCTACCGCTTGAGCCACTCCTCCAGTCCATTTCACCCTGGTTGTTTTGGAGATTGGGTCTCATGAACTGTTTGCCTGTGCTGGCTTCAAACTGTGATCCTCCTGCTCTCAGCCTTCCAGGTGGCTGTGACTGTAGGTGTGTGTCATCGGCACCTGGCTAACTTTCCTGCTTTTTAGGATGACATTGTCTAGGCTTTTCCTGCCCAGGACCTGGAATCAGTTGTTTCTCCAAAGAGAAAACCCTGGTTGTTTTTATTGGAAAATAGTATTTGGAAGTCACCATCTGGGTATTATTTATTAAGGGTGTTATTTGCAATCGAATTGCTTATTGTTTCTAGGTCTTTTCAGTGCACACACACATATGTATATTTTAAAGATAAAATACATCATAAGATCATAATGATAGTCCAAATTAAAATTCATGTCTAAGGTTTTACTCCCTTGAGAAAAAAACTCATTTCCCAATGATACCAACAAAATAATTAATTTGCTTTTCCTCATGCCTTACAGTTTCAAAATAAAATACCTACACCATCACCACCAATCACCATCACCTCCAATATGACTTCTGAAACAGTTTAATAATTTTTTACAGTTTTTTTTTGCCCTTACTTCTATGCTGCTGGGGAGAAAGAGTTAAATCACTGTATTTTAAAATTCATTCAAAATAGTTCTTTTATGGTTGTTTTGCAGCTCCACAAGAAGGCGTATGTGTTTCATTTTTCTTTCAATTTGTGAATTTGTTTACCTTCTTCCTTATATAAAGAGTACCAGGGTCTCAGGGCATGCTTGAGTGGTAGAATACCTGCCCAGCAAACTTTGTAAGGATGGTCGCTTCTCACTTGGTGCACAGTTATTACATTTGTTGTATCTTCCTCGTGAATTGCCTCTGTTAGTCCTCTGGAGTCTTTTTAACACAGAGGGCCTGAATTCCATCCTACCTGGTGTCAGGATGGCCATCCCTGTATTTTTGTTTGCACACACCTGCTGTTCCTTTGCTTTTAGCTATTTCAAATCACTTGGCTTCAGATATGCCTCTGTTGCAGCACAGAGTTGAGTTCTACTGTGTGAGCTCATCTGAACATCTTTTTAATTGGTGAATCAAACCTAATTACATTTAATGATATAATGGCTGTTTGTCCTCAGATCCATCATAAAATTTATTTTGTATTTACTTTGTGCATTTGTCACATTTATTAGTTTTTTTACAACATGAATTTTGGGTATTTAAAATGTATACTAGTATTTAGGAAAACATTTTTATTATAGTGATTACATTTATATCAGTATATTTATGTGATATCTTTACTTTTTTTCTACTTAGGTTCTTACTGTTTTATTAGCTTTAGATTGGTGGCTCTCAATAAAGGTAGGGGACTGTGTGTGTGTGTGAAAGAGAGAGACAAAGAGAGAGAGAGAGAGAGAGAGATATTTTTCCCCAGAGGATATTTGGTAATTTGTAGAAACATTTTTTTGGGGGGAGGCAGTACTGAAGTTTGAACTCAGGGCATTAAGATTGCTAGGCAGGCACTCTACCACTTGAGCCACACCCCCAACTCTTTGCTTTAGTTATTTTTCAGGTAGAGTTTTGAGCCACTTGGCCAGCCACCCCCCCTCCCTTTTTTGGAGGGAGATGGTATTTTTTCAAGGTGGGGTCATGCAAATATTAATTCAGGCTGCCTTTGAACTGCCATCCTCCTGATCTCTGCCTCCTGAGTAGCTAGGATTACAGGTGTGAGCCACTGGTGCCTGGCAGTTCTCACTTTTTTTTTTTTTTAAGTTTAGTAAAGTATTTAAGTTTAGTAGGTATTTATTGAACATCTTAATGAGCTCCTTTGTGTAAAGAAGATGGAAGTATGTTACATATACATATATGAAGATAGCATAATGAAATCCACCAAATACTGTTTGAAAAAGGGGGAGAGAAGGGGGAGAGAAATATAATGGAGGAGGTGAACTCGTTTGAGGTATATTGTACACATGAACAGAATGATCACAATGAAACCCCTCAAATTATTTACTAATGTATGATAATTCAAAAATAAAATCAAATTTAAAAATAAATAAACACATTCCTTTTTGTGAGGGAAAAAAACCCTAAGAATGACTTTGTTTACACAAAACAGGAGTAATTAATTGGTGGTGCAAACTCTATGAGCTATAATTAGACACTTTGACTGTTGTCTACCAGAATAATTCTGGACAAGATTGGACTTTGGTTTATTCGCATAACAAATGCTTGGTGGGGTCTCACATTTTTTGCCTGGGGCCTGATCTCAGACTACCATCCTTCTATCTGTGTAGGATAGGTCTCCTGTGTAGCTTGGATAACAGACATGTATCCCCTTGCCTTGCTGATTGATTACGATGGGGTCTCACTAACTTTTTTTTTTTGACCAGGGCTGGCCTCTAACTGTGTTCTCCTTATCCCTAGTAGTTGGGATTACAGAAGTGGGCCACTGCGCCCTGCACTGGAAACATTTTTGATTGTCACATATGGAAGAGGGTGAATCTAGGGAGTAGAGGCTAGGGATACTGCTAAATACCCTAAATGCACAGGACAACCAAATCTTACAAGAACAAATTATCTGACCCCAAACATCAGTTGTGCTGAGTTTGAGAAACCTCTAGATAGCTTTTGGCTCCTAGTTATCTATGTTGCAATTGATGGTAATTTTCATTGTACTTTCCCCTTTCTCTCTGCCTTTCATTAAAAATTATGTTGTTTTCACTCTGTTGGAACATATGACACTTGACTGTTTTTCCATCTTTATCTCCATTTTCATTTCAGATTTCAACATGTTCAATTCTTGTTGAAATTCCCCAGTGATTCCAAGGTTGGATGAAACATGTCCTCTCATTAGTAGATTCTTTGGGAAGGGCTCCTTGTAGCAGGAAAGTGGTGCAGGGGCAGAAAAGAAACAGACTGTGTTCTGACAATGAGATGGGAGAGGGGATGGCAAAGCAGAGTAATAAAACTTAAAGAATTGAAAAATGAAGGTCACATAGCACTGGGGAAATGAAATAGCCAGTGAAGTCACATGCAGCCATATGTGGGTTGAGCTTTGCTTTTTGCTTCTGTAACCTGCTTGCAGGGGTGTATAAGGTGAGACCCTTTTGTTCTTGGGACTCAGCCTTTGGACAGGAGTCCGCTGGGTCTGTGCTGGCACAATAAATGTTGCTTCCTGCTAAACTGCCTCAGAGACAGTTCATAATTTCCTGCAACACCTGAAGGAAATAGTCCTGAGTTTCTGAATATTTAATACTATGACTTATTTTCTTGATGCTTAAAAATCACTGCACATAAACCTTGGCTCATCCAGTCTTATTTTGCTCTTTGTGTTGCAATTAAGAAATCTGATAACCTGATTTTTCCCCTCTGCAAATGACTTATTTTTTAAACCCAGAGGCTCAGAGAATGCCTGCCTTCCTTCCTTCCTTCCTCCCCTCCTTCCTTCTTTCCTTCCTTCCTTCCTTCCTCCTCCCCTCCTCCCCTCCTTCCCTCCCTCCTTCCCTTTCTCCCTCCCTTCCTTTTTGTAGGGTGAAACCCAGGACCTTGTGCATGCTAGGCAGGTGCTCTACCACTGAGCTCCACCCCAAGACTGAATGTTTTCTTTTTCTTTAAAACCTTAGAGTTTACATGGATGGTCTCACAACAGGACTGACCTTTCAATGTGTAGGTCAACTTTTTCTTTTAGTTCTAGGAAGTTCTCTTAGGGTATAACTTTAATATTAATTCTACTTCATTTATTCAGGTTTCCCTCTTCTAGGGCTCCTACTGCATGTAAATTGGCTTACTTTGCCTACCATATCTTTCTTTCTCTTTTTTTTTTTTTTTGGTGGGACTAGGGTTTGAACTCAGGGCTTTTGAGCTTGCTAGAGTGCCTGCTCTACTGCTTGAGCCATATCTCCAGCCTCACGTAATTTTTGTCATCCTCATGTAATTTTTGTTTTCTTAGATGTTTTAATTTTCTTTCTATGTGATTTTTTATATTTTCTTTTCTGTATCTATTGTCCTTGGGACAGGTTGCAGTTTGGTTTGGATTTCTAAGGTATGCTTGTTCTTCTTTTTTTTTAAATATATGTCCATTTATAGTCTTAAGTTTTGAATTTCTGAGATGTGTTGAACTTTAATATTTGCAATCAACTGTTTAATTATATTTAGTTAAAGCTTGACGAGATACATTTAAAAAAGTATTCCTCTAATTTATTTTTAGTGGGTATTTTAATGTTATGTTTCATTATTCATCTTCTATCTTACTTTTATAGAGACTCTGAAGATACTTGGCTGTCCTCTTCTGTCCATGATGAAAAAGTGAGTAGGATTTTCCTAGATTGGCAATGGTGGGCGATTCTGTTAGAGTGAGGGATGGAGTGGCTTTGGTTGCTTATTTGATTTCTCAGCTCCAGGGCACTCTCTTCTCTTGATCTAGCGATTTATGGAAGGTGTAGCTTGTCTCCAGGCATTGTGGTGTGGGTTCATCCCCTTTCTTTGCCCTTCATCTTAGGAAAATTTGCCCATGTTGGTTTTGGGGGGGTGCTCAGAAATTGTTTCGATAATGTGTTTGTGTGCTAAGGTGAACATAAGTCTTGAATTTAGACTTAATCAAAGAGAGGCTTGTGTTTTACAACAGTCTAGTTTGTGACTCTGATCCCTGACAGTCTACCTGAGGTTCCATGGGACAGTTGTTTCCCTATTGTCAGGAAATAATTACCATTTATGTCCCTGAAAAAATGCAGAGTGAAGGGGAATTAAAGTCAGGAAGCTGAAGGTAGCTTGGGTGCATTTTTCACATAAAGTGATGACTCCTAATGAAGCCATTTAACTTCCCACCAGTCTTTCTGGCCTTCCTCATTGTTCCTTTAAAGACTGTCTTGCCTGGAAGATTCTCCCTGAGTTGGTTTTTCTCTGCTATAGATGGGGATCTTAGATTCTGACCTCCAAAGTACAGACCAAATCCCATCCCTGAAGACGAGCAGTTTCTTTGTCCCCAGGTTCCTGCCTGATCTGACTTGGGCTCCACTATTAAAGTTTTAAGACTTTTATTTTGGTAAAATACATCCAACATGATATTTGTCATCTTAACTTTTTTAAGTGTATAGTTCAGTAGCATTTCGTACATTTGCACCACACTGCAACCAATCTCTAGAATTTTTTCATGTTCTAAAACCGAAACTTTGCAGTCATCAAACAGTAACTTGAGTTTGCTCCCTCCCTGCTGCCCCTGGAGACCACCAATCTTCATCTATTGTCTCTCTGACTTTGACTATTCTAGGTATCTCTTGTAATTGGTCATACAGTCAGTCTTTTGTCTTTTTGTAACTGGTTTATTTTACTTAAATATCCTCAAGGTTCATTTGTGTTACACGACTAATAATACTCCACTGTATGTGTGTACCACATTTTGTTTCTCCATTCATCTGTTGATGGACATTCGGGTTGTTTCCACCTTTTGGCTATTGTAAAAATTTCTACTGTGAGTGATCTTTACAAATGTATCTTTGTACCTTATTTTCAATTCTTTTAGATATATACCCAGAAGTAGAATTGTTGGATCATATGGTAATTCTATTTTTAATCTTCAAAGGAACCACCAGACTGTTTCCCATGGTGGCTGCACCATTTTACACTCCTGCCAATGGGGCACAAGGGTTTCACTTTCTCCAATCCTTGCCAACACTTTTTCATAATAGCCATCCTGACGGGTGCGAGGTCATATTTCATTGTGGCTTTGATTTGTGTTTCTCTAATAATTACTGCTTTTTCTTCTTGGCCATTTATACATTTTCTTTGGAGAAATGACTGTTCAAATCTTTTGCAGGTGCTCTTTATTCTAGACATTTTATATCTTTGTATATTCTGGATATTAATCCTTGATCAAATATATGATTTGTAAATATTTTCTCCTTTTTTATAGTCTGCCTCACCTTGTTGACTATGTGCTTTGGTGCACACACTTCATATTTTGATGTAGCTCAATTTATCTACCTTTCTTTTGTTGCCTGTACTTTTGGTGTCATATCCAGGAGCTCATTGCCAAGTCATGTCATGAAGCTTTTCCCCCTCTGTTTTCTTGTAAGAGTTAATTTATAGATTTAGGTCTTCTGTTTAGGTCTTGATCCATTTTGAGTTAAACTGTGTTATCTGGTGTATTCACTGTCATTTTGCTGGGAGTTCAACATGTAGCAGAGTTAACATGATGCAGTTAAGAAAGGGACTTTGACATTTTTGTCTCATGGATTTTATCCTGAAACATGTCTTTCCTCCTCTTCCCCAACAGACACCTTTCCCGTAGCCACGAAAGAGGTCATAAAAATGTAAGAAAACCAATGCAAAAATTTATATTTTATTTGAATTCAAAAAATTTAAAATTGCTTTCAAATTCAGGAAAGTACCATAATGCAGAACCCCAGAGGGAAAGCCTCATATACAGAGACAGATAAATTAAATGTATATACTGCAGACAAGCCAAGGTGTGTAGATTACATATTTACAGCACTTGATGTTTTCTGAAAACCATATTTATACATTTTGTTACATTTACAAAAAAGGCTTTCACTACCATGTACCTACAATAATGAAAAAAATTTACACCCTTTTTTCTTTCCTTTTTGGTACTGTACAAACTTTGTATAATAAAAATATATCTCTGTACAAAAGATTTTTTTGTTTTTTACCTTTTTTTCTTTTCTTTTTTCTTTTTTTATGATGGTGGGTATATGGTATGAATGGCAGGTGAAGGGCCTAACCTTTCCTGTTCCTTCTGAGCCTCTGAAGGTGGAGAGAAAATACCAGAGGTGGGGTGGGTGATGCACAGCAAAGGGCTGGGTGCCCACCAGCCTGTCCTCCTCGGGCATGTCATCTTGTGGCACTTTGTGAGGAAACACAGGAAAGAGAGTGGAGGCTAGGCTAGAGGAAGAGCCCACTGGATGTCGGAGTATCAGAGGGGAAGGAGCAGCAGGACTTCTGCCTTTGTTTCCAGGGATGGAAGGGGATGAGTGTGAGTGTGTGTGTCTGGACTGGTCCTCCTCTACCTGGCCCAGGGATGCTGCATCCTAGAAGGGGTGTGGACAGAAGTGAGCTCCTGACATTGCCTGCCTCCATTGCATCTGCTAGAAATGAACACTATTCATTTACTGTAGCCCATCTTAATTTCAACCAGTCAGGTCTTATAATTGTTCCAATTCAGGATTGGCTTAAGAATCAGAAGGCCCCGCCCCTCTGCTCTCATGCAGTTCTACTTGATATTTCAGTATGCCACGTGAACAGCCAAGGCTAACATGGAGTGTAAGCCCATGGCCACTTTCCCTAGGACACAGAAAGTGGCTCTAAGGGCCATATTTGATTCTCAAACTCATGAGTTTTCTAACAGTATTCATATGGAATTCATTAGTGACCCAAACACAGTGAAACTGTCAACATAAACCAAAGCTACATGTGAGGGTCTGGAGAGTGTGTGACTTTCGTGTGCTCGGTTCTTGTGATCTGGGAGCAGCCATGTCCATTGGGCAGGGGTTTCTGGGAGCCCAGGGGCAGCACCAATTCCAGGAGGCTGGGGGTACTGGGTCCCTGACCTGATGCTGTCCAGGCAGAGTGAGTAGAGCCCAGATTAGACACAGGTATCCCTGTGTGGCTTGCTAGAACTGGCCACAGGACTTCTGTAAAGATTCCCCTACATCCTTGCTTTTGGTGCCCCTTCCAGACAGGTGCTCTACCATTTGAGTCACATTCCCAGCCCTGGTGTCCCTTCTAGACCTGGTTTTCTGTTAGTGGGTGTAGTGGACTTGGGGACCAAAGAGATCCAGGTTTGCATCCTTGCTCTACTCTTACTTTGTGGCTCACATATCTTTACCTTCCTGGGCCTCTGTTTCCTCATCTATAAGAGAGGAATAAAAAATCCTGCTTTGGTGGTATTTTACATACTAGAAATAATACAAATAAAGTGTCAGGCACAGAGAAGAAACCTAGGAAGTGGAGGCCATCATTTTTCAGGTGCAAGGGCTTGCTCCCTTTTCCTGTCCAGCACCTCCTTGTCTGGGCCCCAGATATATTTTCTCTTCTCCTCCTTTTGGGCAGTTGACCATGGTGTGACCCTAGGCTCCTGGGCCAGATTCCTGCCCTGTCCTCCTGGGAACACTTTTCCAATGCTATTAGACCCAAATGACTTTTTAATTCAATAGGTTTAGAACTCAGTATAATTATGCCCCCAAAATAAAGAAATTGATTACCAAACTATTTCCAAAGATGATCTTTCTGACCTTGGGATGACCCTTGCTGTCATGCAGATGGACTGCCTATCTGCACAGGGTTGGTTTCTGCACACTGACCCCACAGGATGCATCCTACAAATGCACTCATGGCTGGTTTGAGAGCTGATTGTGTTCCTCTTCATCTCTTTTCTGTTTTTGTGGGAGCAGAGGCTGGGGCATCTTACACACACACACACACACACACACACACACACACACACACACACTTTTTTAAGCCTCTGGGGTCTCTTCCATAGGACAAGATGAAGGAGGGGTTTGTGTGCTCACACACGCACACACACACACACACACACGCACACACACACGTTGCTTTGCTATTTTAAATTCATAAACTTCTTCCTCTATCTGCAGCCCCTCTTCCTTTACTGCCCCCTGCCAGGGCTTAGTGGGAGGCCTCTCCAGGTTGGTGGGCACAGATGGTGGCAGAGCGAGGGCCCGAGTCCAGCAGTGGCAGACACAGGCAGAAAGACAGACGAAGATGGGTACTGGGCACTGTGCTCAGGGGAGCTCCTTCCTGCCCTCTTGGGAGCTGGGAACAAACAACAGCAGAGTTGGGAAAAAAGCAGGACGGGTTGGGGTGGAAACAGAAGGAGGCAGGAGAAAAGAGGTAGATCCAAGAAGGAAGAAAGGGAAAAGAATGAAAGAACATTAGTTGGGTCCATCTTTGTCTTTAAATTTTAATCTTCCCAAACTGGGGTGAGGCATAGGTAAGGAATACACATAGCAGAACATATATTTTTATATCTGTAGTCTTGTTCCCTTGCAGGGCTGACTTCCTAGTTGGAGAATGGATTCTGACCTGCTCCTTCTTAGCTATGGGATCTTGGTCAAGTTGGTTGATTTTTATGTGCTTGTCCTTAGTTTTCTTATCTGCAATGAGGACCCATCTCACAGGTGAGAGGGGATTCAGTGGGATCTGTGAGGTGCCTGCTCAGTGCCTGACACACCGTGATGCTCAATATCAGCCCTTAGCTTCGTGCCTGTGCTGTGGGGATGTCTTTGTGTGCCCGAGCCACCTGTGCACACGTGTATACCTGTTGAAGTTCTGGTAGGCCTGTTTGCCTCCCACTGCCCTCTTTCTCCCCAGCCCCCATCTCACCAACTGCTGGAGGCGGGGCTCTCGGTGGCAGCGGCAGTGGCAGCCAGGTCTGGGGGCTATACTGCAGTACACACTGT